CTCTGGGGTGGAAATTGGCCATTTCAGCACTTTCCTCCAAGGATGTGGGTCCAAACCCTGCTCCACAGGGACCCCCATGGTGGGAGGATGCTGATGGACCCCACTCTCTCCCAGTTATCCTCATCTCTGCATCCTCCAGGTTCGTCTTCCTCCTGGACCACGGCCTCAACCTCTTCGTGTGGCGCGGGGCCCAGGCCACGCTGAGCAGCACCACCAAGGCCAGGTAGGGCTGGTTATGGGGCTGGGAGTGCAGGAGCCCCCCCAATCCCCATCTCACCCGTTCCCCACACAGGCTCTTTGCTGAGAAGATCAACAAGAACGAGCGGAAGGGCAAGGCGGAGATCACACTGCTCACACAGGGCCAGGAGACCCCCGACTTCTGGGAAGCACTTGGGGGGCAGCCTGAGGAGATCCGGCCCTGTGTCCCCGATGACTTCCAGCCCCACAAGCCCAAGCTGTACAAGGTGAGGAGCTGCTGTCCGTGGGGCTGTTGGTGTCCCCAGGACCCTGCAGCACTCCTCACCCATGTCTCTATCCCTCTCCATAGGTTGGCCTGGGTCTGGGCTACCTGGAGCTGCCCCAGATCAACTACAAGCTCTCAGTGGAGCACAAGAAGAGGCTGAAGGCTGATCTGATGCCGGAGATGCGCCTGGTAGGATGGGTTCTCCCAGTCTGACCAGTGGGACTGGTTTCATGCCCCATCTGCCTCCAGCAGTGCCCCGGGAGGGGCAGGTTCAGCCAGCAGCGCCCGCGTGGGGATGCTCTGCTCTTCCTGGCTGGGTCTGTGGGATCAAGCAGGGTGTTCTCCAGGCAGGGAATCCCATGGAGGCCTCACCCCCCCCCTTATTCCCTGCGGTGCCCTCAGCTCCAGAGCCTGCTGGACACCAAGAGCGTGTACATCCTGGACTGCTGGTCCGACGTCTTCATCTGGATCGGGAGGAAGTCCCCACGGTTGGTGCGGGCGGCGGCGCTGAAGCTGAGCCAAGAGCTGTGCGGGATGCTGCACCGGCCCAAGCACGCCATGGTCACCAGGAACCTGGAGGGCACCGAGTGCCAGGTAGGGCGACAGTGATGGGGTGGGGGGGGGGATGCTCCTGGGATAGGGTGCTGGGTGCCAAAAGGGCGCTGTGGGTGCGTTACCTCCTCTGTTTAGGTGTTCAAGTCCAAGTTCAAGAACTGGGATGATGTCCTGCGCGTGGATTACACCCGCAACGCTGAGTCGGTGCTGCAGGAGGGCGGTCTCGCTGGGAAGGTCCGTAAGGATGCTGAGAAGAAGGATCAGATGAAGGCAGACCTCACGGCGCTCTTCCTGCCCCGACAGCCACCCATGCCCCTGAGCGAGGTAGGGCTGGGGACCATCCCCTGCGTGTCCCGTTCCCCCTCCCCGTTGTGCTGGGCTGATGGAGGGACTGATGGAGCCCATGGGGCCGCAGGCAGAGCAGCTGATGGAGGAATGGAACGAGGACCTGGATGGAATGGAGGGCTTCGTGCTGGAGGGCAAGAAATTCGCTCGTCTGCCCGAGGAGGAGTTTGGCCACTTCCATACCCACGACTGCTACGTCTTCCTCTGCAGGTGACACCCGGCTTGTCCCCATTATGGGGCTGCTGGACCCACATCTCCCTGCCCAGACCCCCGGCCTGCCCCATCCCTCACATCACCACCTATTCCTGCCTTCAGGTACTGGGTACCGGTGGAGTACGAGGAGGAGGAGAAGAAGAAGAAGAAGGGAGAAGGCAAAGGGGAGGAGGATGGGGAGGAGGAAGAGGAGGACAGGCAGCCGGAGGAAGACTTCCAGTGCATCGTCTACTTCTGGCAGGGCCGGGAGGCCTCCAACATGGGCTGGCTCACCTTCACCTTCAGCCTGCAGAAGAAGTTCGAGAGCCTCTTCCCCGGCAAGCTGGAGGTGATGCTGCTACGGGCAGAGGGGTGCAGCTGGGGCTCGGGGCTGTGTTTTGGGGGTGCCCACGTCCCTGCTGACACCCGCCCCTTGTGCAGGTCGTGCGCATGACCCAGCAGCAGGAGAACCCCAAGTTCCTGTCGCACTTCAAGAGGAGGTTCCTCATCCACCGGGGCAAGAGGAAGGACAGGGCCAGCCCGCCCCAGCCCAGCCTCTACCACATCCGCACCAACGGCGGGGCCCTCTGCACCAGGTCAGCCTTGCTGGGGAGGGGGGGGCGCTGCTCCGGGATGGAGCACCCATGGGTGCCGATGGGCACAACGGCCTCAACTCTCGCTCACTGCACCCCATGGGTTCCTTTCCTAGGTGCATCCAGATCAACACAGACGCCGGGCTGCTCAATTCGGAGTTCTGCTTCATCCTCAAGGTATTGCCCACAGAGGAGCATCCTCAGGGATGCTCGGCTGCTTGCCCTCCTCCCTGTTTGGGTATCCCTGACTCTGTGTTCCCCCAGGTGCCCTTTGAGAGCACAGACAACCAGGGCATCGTCTATACCTGGGTGGGAAGGGCAGCTGACCCTGACGAGGCCAAATTGGCCGAGGACATCATGAACCACATGTTTGATGACTCCTACAGCAAGCAGGTGAGCGGTGGGAGTAAAGGGCTTGGTGCCAGCTTTTACCTGGGTGGCAGCAGCCACTGGGGCAGGGGACGGCGATGCTCAACCCTGTGTCTGTCCTTGCAGGTGATCAATGAGGGAGAAGAGCCTGAAAACTTCTTCTGGGTGGGCATCGGGAGCCAGAAGCCTTATGATGAAGATGCTGAATATATGAAGCACTCCCGGCTCTTCAGGTGGGTCCCGGTGCAGGAGGGGCTGCCAAGGGCTCAGTGCTCCCAAAGTAGCCAGGGCATGGCTCCTGTGACAAGGAAACCCCTCTCCCAGCTTTGTCCATCCTCCAGCTGAATCAGAGCTGCTCCATCACATCCCTCCCTTCTGCCTGAGCCGAGTCCTTACGAACTCCTGCCTTTGATGCTCTCCCATCCGGCTCTCCCCGCAGGTGCTCCAACGAGAAGGGATATTTCTCCGTGTCAGAGAAGTGCTCGGATTTCTGCCAGGATGACCTGGCTGACGACGACATCATGCTGCTGGACAACGGGCGCGAGGTGATGTGGGGCTCTTCGGGGCTGGGTCCATGGCTCCATCGGCTGATCCCGGCTCCATGTCCTTGTCACAGTCTTCCAGTACCTCAAGGGGTTCCAGGAAACCTGGAGAGGGGCTTGGGACAAGGGCCTATAGGGACAGGCCAAGGGGAATGGCTTTAACCTGCCAGAGGGGAAACTGAGATGAGCTCTTAGGCAGAAGCTCTTCCCTGTGGATGGGGCTTGGAGCAAGCTGCTCCAGTGGAAGGTGTCCCTGCTTGGAGCTGGATGAGCTTTAAGGTCCCTTCCAACCCAAACCATTCCATGCTTCCTTTCCCACAGGTCTACATGTGGGTGGGCACCCAGACCAGCCAGGTGGAGATCAAGCTGAGCCTCAAGGCGTGCCAGGTAAGGCTTGCTCATGCTGGGGGCAGGGGGGGGAGCATTTGGGCATCTCCATCCCACGGGGCTCTGGTCCAGCCCCAGAGGTGGGTGAGAGACCCCCATGGCTGTGCTGTGCCCCAGGTCTACATCCAGCACATGCGCTCCAAGGACCCCGCGCATCCCCGCAAGCTCCGGCTGGTGCGGAAGGGCAACGAGCCCTGGCCCTTCACCCGCTGCTTCCATGCCTGGAGTGTCTTCCGCAAGCCCCCAGCCTAAGGACCCCTTCTGTCCCGTTCCCCCCTCCCTTCTCCCAGCACCGGGCCCAGCTCAGCCCCCTTCCTGAGGGCTGGATGGGGCAGTGTGGGTCTACGTTACGGATCAGCGCCGAGGGTGGTACCCAGGTTTGGGTGGGAGGATGCTTTGCTTTAGCACTGGCACAGCCCTTTGGTGTCACATCAATAAATGCTGCACTTCTCACCCCATGACTGTGCCCATCTCACTCCCAAGGGGGGTCCTCATCCCACTGATCCCTGTGGTTCAGGGGGTCCTATCACCCCCCCCCCCCCCCCCCCCCCCAGCTCCCTGCAGCCTGGGCAGTTGATATTAAATGCTTTATTTTTCAATATTAAAAACCAGTATTTTTAATAACTAAACAATGCTAAATTCATCTTACCAAAAAAAACAAACAGAAGGATGAGGTGTGGGGGGGGTTCTACCAAGGACGCTACAGCCCCGACAGAGCCTTCCCGGCCCCCCCCCAGCCACACATGTACCGCAAGAGAGCCTTTGGGGGGGGGTCCAAAATGCCCCCACATCCCCTAAAGGAGAGGGGAAGTACCAGGCTGAGCCCTGGAGCCACATAGGGACGGGCGCTATGGACCAGAGCCAGCATCACCGCAGCCCCCTGTGAGGATGAGGCCGGGCTGGGCAGCCCAGGGGGGGATTTGGCACAGTGAGACCCCTGGGTTGGGGCAGGAAGGGGTTGGGGTACCCCCGTATTCCATCCGTATCCCCCCCCTCCCAGCACCAGCATGGACCAGGAGCCGGTGTGTTCCCGCATCGCCGTCCCATCCCAACCCCACCCGTGGCAGGAATTAGTGTCAAAGGAGCAGCAGGCACCGAGCCCAACCTGGAGAATAGCCCTTGGAGAAGCCACTAAGAGAAAAAGGCCACCTGTGACCCCCCCCCCCAGCACCCCAGGCTGCTTAAGCCTTCCAGTGCCCACCTTGGAGCAATGGGGTCCACACTGGGAGCCCCTGGGAACGGGGTGTCCCATGGAGCCTGCTGCAGGCTGAGGATGGGGCTGTAAACTGCAGGGAGCCGGGCATGTAAACACAGACCAGGGGATGGGAGGGCCCTGCCCGGGGGCTCCCGGCCCCCCACTTTCCCAATGGACCAAAACCAGGGGATGAGGGGGGTGTCCACAAGCCCCAGCCCTCCCCGTGAAGCCGGGGAAGCAGCAGCATCCCCCCGGGAAGGGGGCTCTGGAGCCATGGAGCGTGTACAAAAAGGAACGGGATCTCCCCCCCCACCCCGCCCTGGGGAAGAGTCCTGTGCACCACGGAGCCCGGAGGGGACCGGGACCGGGGCCGGGCAGGGGGGAGCGGGTGGGTGTTAGAGAAGAGACGAGTCTACGTTACATGGGGAGGGGGCTCGGGGGGGTCCAGTCGAGTCACACATCCCGGGAATCCGAGCACTGAGATGGGTCAGGGAGGCTGGCGCTGCCTGCGGGGGACACAGCCCTTGAGAAGGGGATGGAGGTGCATCCCCCGGGGGGGTGCTGCCCGCCCCTGCTCCCCCTTTAGGGATCACAGCCCCGTTATGAGGGATGGGGGTCCCAGCCCCACACACACCTCACTTGATGAGGATCCCCGTGGACCGGGCCTCGTCCTCGCTGGCGTTCCTCAGGTTCCTCTCCACTTCCTCTGAGGATCTGGGGGTAAAGCAGGGTGAGAGGCAGCCTGTGGAGCCCCCCCATCAGCACTGGTGGCAGCGCCACGGGCACCGGTTACACCGCTCCCATCCTACTCACGCCAGGAAATCCTTCACTTCCTCCACGGTGATGTCCCCGGTGGTGTCCAGCGGGTTCTCCATGCTGCTGTTGGGGGAATCGATGGAGCTGGGCGAGAAGGCGGCCGGGTGCTCCTCAGGGGACCCTTTGGGGACACGGGGATGGGAGGGTTGGCAGCCAGGACACGGGGTCAGGGCCATAGGGACACGGTGTGCACGGCAGGGAGATGGGGAGGACGTGGTGTGCACGGTGGGGACAGCCTCATCACTCACGGTCACTGTTGGTGGGGGAGCGCGGTCCCTCGGGGCTGCGCGGGACGTGGGTACCGTTGGCTTGCGGCAGCTTCGGCGTTGCCATCGAGCTGTTGCTGGAAGGAAAGGCAGGGAGAAGTTACTGCGGGAGCCGGTGCCATGGGATGAGGGGTACAGGGATGCTGGGATACGTCCTACCTGAGGCACGAGGTGTCCTGGAGCCGGGCGACCTCCAGCCGGCACAGCGGCTCCGTCACGTTCCTGGCGCTCAGCGAGAAGCGCCCGAACTCGGATGGCGAGATCAGGTAGAAACCTGGAGCAGGGAACACCAAAGAGCCTCAGGAACACCCCCGCGGGACGCAGCAGGAGACCACGTCCCACCTGCAACACAGACATCAGCGCTGGCGCCCTCACCCTGCCCGTGCTTGGTGAAGACGCAGGAGGCGATGCCGCTGATGTCCTCCTTGCGGATGCAGCCGTAGTGGACCTGCGGCCGGAGGCTGGGCACGGTGAAGATGTGGATGTCGCCCAGGTTGGTGAGGCAGGCCAGGCAGTTCTCCAGCCGCTCCTCGGAGCTGGCGCTCGCCAGGCTCACCAGGGCCACCTTCCGCACCCGGCACCCTTCGTGGGCCGTCAGCTTGAACTTGGTCTTGGCGCTCACTTTGGGCAGGGTGAACACCTGCAGGGTGAGAGGAGACGGGGACCTGAGCAGCCTCCCATTGCGGAAGCGCTCAGCTAAGGGCAGCGTCACCCCCATAAGGACAAGAACAGGGGTGCCCCAGGACCCGGTCGGTCACCTCCATCCCCATCCCTGGGGACACCCAGACAGGCCACGGGACACGTTATGGGTGCTGGTGCCCGCGCTCACCTTGAACTGCTCCTCAGAGGAGATGAGCATGGAGTGGCTCCCCTGCATGTCAGGGGCCTTGGCCAGGTCCCTCGAGACCTCATAGGGCTCAGGCAGGGGGTTCCCCCTCCCGTCCAGCACCGCGATGGCCACCACGGGCGCACGGTGCATGAGCTGGATCTCCTTCCCCAGCACCGCCTCCACCGCCCGCTCCGAGAACTTCTCCTGCGACGGCACCTCCAGGGCGTAGGCGAACACCGAGCCCGAGTTGGTCCCTGCCCACATCGTGGGGCCATGGTGGGCAGCTGCGGGATGGGAGCAGCATCAGAGCCCCCCTTCCCCATAGCCAGACCCACAGCTCCAGGGAGGAAGTGGGGGGGGGGGTTTCCAAGGCCCGGGGGCCCTCACCGTCTCGGAGGAAGGTGTCAGCGAAGTAAAGGCACCGCACGACCCCGGAGAGGGAGTCATCGGCGGAGCGCGGCTCGATGCGGCGCTGCACCGGCGTCATCTCCACCTCGGGGGGCCCTGCCTGCTCCGCCAGCTGAGCATTGGCCTCTTGGACCTGCCGAGGCGATGCAGGCGTCAGCCCCTGCCCCACGGCGACGCGGAGCAGCCGTGATGGTCCCCGCTCCCCTCCAGACCCACCTTGCTGGAGGGGCTGCCGGTGCTGAGCCTCTTCTTGCCCGACACCCGGCTCTTGCGGATGCGGCGGAACGACTGCCGCAGGGACTTCTTGAGGGACTTCACGCGGGACAGGGGCCCCTCCATGGCCAAGGAGTCGTTGGGGTGCAGCGTACACCTGCGGGCACCCACGCTGCTCAGCACCCAAGTCATCACCCTTAAGGGGGTCCCCAGCACCGTGATGCCCGCCCCATACCTGGCCAGGACGGGGTTGCGCCGGTAATAGTCGAAGAGCCCAAAGCCGTGGCTGGTGCCGAAGGCCACGAGGTTCCACTCGGAGTGGAGGGTGACGGCGGTGACGGCGGCGGGGGGCACGCACTGCACCAGGACGCTGGGCTGGAAGCCGGGGGCGAAGGGCAAGGGGCCGTTCCTTGGGGCCAGCCGGTCGTGGCCCTTCCAAGTGAAGCCCTCGCGGTCCTGCAGCAGGTCCACGGTGGCCACGCTCACGGCGTGCTCCGACTTCTCGTCGCTCAGCTCCATCACCAGCACCTGCAGGGGACGCACGATGAACCCCCTGCCCTATGACGGCCTCCCTGCTGCAAGGCAGGGGCTAAACCCCACGGGTAGAAGCCCTTCATGGAGGGGCTGCAGGGCTTGTGGGGGGGTCAGAGCCCGCTCTGCCCTACCTGCCCCGCTGTCCCAGCCACCACCATCTTGGCCGTGTACTTGCACAGAGCAATCTTCTGCACCCCCAGGCGTGGGTCGTCACTGTAGGGATCAAAGCAGCCCACCTATGGCAGGAAAGGAGGGACTGTGGGGCTGGGCACCTTGATACCGCTATGGGGCAGCCCCCCCGCAGTGCACCCCAATGTCCCCCCCCCCCAACAGCTGCTGGGTACCGGCTGCAGTGCACGGGCTGCTCTGGGCACGATGCCTGCAACACGTCTGTCCCAACGTGTCATCCCCCCCCCCCCCAGCCCCGCACTGGGGCAGACCCACAAGGCAGGGCACGTGGAACAAGCATCCCTTGTTGTCCCCACGGGCAGTCACACAGCAGCTGCGCCCCGAGATGAAGGGACACGTCCCCGGTGCGATGCCGGGATGGCTCCATCCTCTCTATGGGCTTGTGTGCCCCTGCACTGCGGTGCTGGGGGGGGGGCAGAGGAGGGTGCTGGGGTGCTCACCTTGCGGAAGGGCGGCCACTCCTCCTCGCCCGCCTGGTTGAGGCTGTCGTTGTGCTCGCAGTCGGTCTGGAAGATGCTGGCGGTGCCCAGCTTGTAGAGGGGCTTCAGGGAGACCCCAGAAGCATCCCAGAACCGCACCGTGCCGTCCTCGTGCCTGGAAACGGGGTGGGGGGGGCACGGGGAGGCCCCTGTTAGCGCAGGGCCCTGACATCTGCCTGCTAACAAGGGCTGCCTGTGTGCCGGCAGATGGGGGGGTAAGGGGGGGGCAGAGGGTGACACACTCCTGCCCAGCCATCAATGAGCGATGGGGCAGCCGAGTGAGACGGGGCAGCTCAACCCATCCCAATCCCACACTGCAGGAGTGGGGTGAGGATGTCCGCCCCCCCGGCCGCCCCCCTTCTCTCCTCTAAGGGTACATTTGGGGTTTCCCAAGCCCGCCCTCCCCACTGCCAGGCCACTCACCCCGTGAGGAGAAGCCCCCTTTGCGTAGGCTCCTGCGCCAGGTTCTTCCCCCCATCAATGGGCCAAGCCTGGAGGGAGAGATGGGAGGGATGGAGCCCATCAGCCCATCCCGTGGGGCTCGGGCATCCCAGCATCCCCACCACTCACCGCAGAGGAGAGCCGGGGGCTCTGCTGCTCGCCGGCACTGATGATCCTCTCCCAAAGCTTGAGGGGCACGTTGGAGACGTGGCAGGAGCAGGTGATGGCGGAGGAGTGGAGCGGCGCCAGGTACGGGGCAGGGATGGTCGGCCAGCCCGGGGTCTGCAGGTCGATGGCCACCAGCTCTTCCTCCACCAGCACCACGAGGGCACGGGGGTTCTCAAAGCCTGGGGAGGGCACAGACGGTCCCTGCTAATGAAGACCCCCCCCACACACACACCCCTTTATCACCCATTCAAGGCCACCCCATCAGGACCTACCTCCCTCGGGCACCTCGGGGCTGTGCACGGTGAAGAAGTCGATGACACGGGAGGTGAAGTCGAGCGTGGCCAGGGTCTGGCCCTGCAGCACGCTCACACAGTGCCGGTCCCCATAGCTGGCCCGCGGCATCCCCCCGCTGAAGATGATGAAGGGGTTCCTGGGGGGGGGGGGGGATGAAGCAGCACCCATCAGACCCTGCAGGACGTCCTACCCGCATCCCCCGTGCCCATCACCAGGGGCAGGCTGCGCCCTAGGGACGTACCCCGACTCGCAGGTCCGCCAGAGGATTTTGCTGATGGCTTTGCAAGGGAATGGACCTGAAATGAATCATTGAATCCGTGAGCTTGGAGAAAAACTTGCACTAACCCATGGCACTGAGGCCTCGTCTCCACGCTGTGTGAGCACTTGCAGGGACGGTGACTGCAGCCCTGCCCTGGGCAGCCTGTTCCAATGCCTGAGCACCCTCTGGGACAGGAATTGTTCCTCAGCTCCATCTAAACCTGCCCTGGTGCAGCTTGAGGCCGTTTCCTCTTGTCCCATCCCTTGTTCCTTGGGAGCAGAGCCCAGCCCCTCCTGGCTCCATCCTCCTGTCAGGCACTTGTAGGGAGCCATCAGGTCCCCCCTGAGCCTTCTCTTCTCCACACTGAACCCCCCAGGTCCCTCAGCCCTTCCCCATCACCCCTGTGCTCCAGGCCCTGCACCAGCTCCGCTGCCCTTCTCTGGCCCTGCTCCAGCACCTCAATGTCTCTCCTGCAGTGAAGGGACCAGAACTGAGCACAGGATTCGAGGTGCGGCCTCACCAGTGCCCAGCACAGGGGCACAATCCCTGCCCTGGCCCTGCTGCCGCACTGGTGCTGATCCAGGCCAGGATGCTGGGGGCTTCCTGGGCACAAGGTGCCCGTGGTCAGCTGTCATTCACCAACACACCCAGCTCCTTTTCCATGAGCAGCTTCCAACCACTCTGCCCCAAGCCTGCAGCATTGCCTGGGGTTGTTGTGACCAAGTGCAGGACCCGGCACTTTGCCTTGTGGAACCTCATCCCATCGGCCACAACCCATGGATCCAGCCTGTCCAGATCCCTCTGCAGAGCCTCCTGCCCTCCAACAGATAAAGATCCCAGCCCTGAGCTGCAGCAGCAACACCAGGACAGGACCATCAGCCCCCAAGGCCCCCTTAATCTCCCCTATTAACCCCATACCATAGGGGATGGTGGACATGACGGGCTGCTGGCTCTTCTGTCCGGCACCGCTCACGGCCCACACCATGTACCCCCCATCGCTGTGGGAGCTGACCATGCTCTTCCCGCTCTGCTCCCAAGCCAGGCTCTCCAACTGCTGCAGGGGCACACAGAGGATGCTCAGCACCCAGGATGGGGGCACACACACAAGGCCATGCCCCCCCCCCTTAACCCCTTGCCACCTTCAGTACCTGGTTCCCAAGGAAGAGGTGCTGGACCACACGTGTGCTCTGCTCCCAAAGCACCACCAGCCCCCGGCTGTACCCGATGAGGAGCCGGCCGCCGTCGCGCGGATGCTCCTGGATGGACTCCACCGGTCCCAGCGCCTTCCCGCAGCGATACTCATCGGGCACACTGCACGGAGGGGACACAACGGGGGTCAGGGGGTGCTGGGAGCCATGGGGAGGGGGTGCAGGGGGTGCAGGGCTCACCTCTGCAGGACCTCATCCGGGAAGAGGGTTTTGTCCTCCAGCAGCACCAGCGTGGGCAGGGCGAGGAAATACACGGCACCACCCTCGGTACCCAGGCAGGCCACTGCACAGGAGGATGTGGGCAGGACCACTGTCACCCGGGTGATGCCAGGAGAGCACCTATAGAGAGGAATGGGGGGGGAGTTGTGTCAGCCCTATTATAGGGGAGCGGCAGAGAGACCCCAAACCTCCTCTTCCTCAGCGCTGCATCCCCATCAGCCCCGGAAGGACAGGGAGAACCTCGGCACCAAAGCAACCAGAGCCGTTATCAGCCCTGTGCCCTGCCAGCGCCTATAGAAAGCTCAAGGCTGCGTTATCCCATCCCGGCAGGGATCAGAGGAGCATCCAGCAGATAAACCAGCGCCACTGAGGGGACCTTGGGAGCTCCCACGCGCCATTCCCAGCCAGCAGCTCCATGGGGGAGCGACTGGAAACACCCCCCCACACACACACAAGCAAGCACTTGGTGCTATCAGACCCTGGGCGTCCCGGGAGGCCGAAGCTGTGGGTCTCTTCCAGGTGGGAGCATCCATCCTTCTGGCACACCTCCCAGAGGTGCAGCGTGTTGTCATCCAGCAGGGACAGGAGCCAGCCCTGGCGGGGACACATACACACACACACAATGACAATGGGGTGGGATGAGGGACAAGGGGAGCTGCCCCCCCCCCCCCCCGGGACCCCCAAACACACACGCATCCCTACCTGGCCAGGGAGGAAGTGCAGCTGGGTGACAGTGGCTGTCTCCTTGTGCAAGCCCGTCAGCTCCACGCCTGGCGCGCCATATCTGGGGGGGCCGTTAAAGGAACAACGAGGGTAGAGGCCCCCCCCCTTAAATGAACCCACAGACCCCTAAATTACACACACACACAAAGGCCACTGCTCTATCTGCAGTCATCCCAGATGCTGGAGCCAGCTTTGGCACCACCATAGAATCCCAGAATGGGTTGGAAGGGACCTTAAAGCTCATCCAGTCCCAACCCCTGCCACGGGCAGGGACCCCTTCCACTGGAGCAGCTTGCTCCAAGCCCCTGTGTCCAACCTGGCCTTGAACACTGCCAGGGATGGGGCAGCCACAGCTTCTCTGGGCACCCTCACAAGGAAAAACTTCTTTAGATCTAACCTGAATTCCCCCCGTTTAAACTTAAACCCATCACCCCTTCCCCTACGGCTCCAGCCCCTGCTGCATTCTCCTTCTCCGGCATCCAAACCATCCCTGTCTGGGATGCCCCGGAACGCCTCCGACCGGAACGCCGCGGGTCAGGATGCGGCCGGCACGCGGCCGCCGTGGGTGTGCGAGGGCCAGGCCGGCTCCTGCCCTCCACCACTCCCTTGTTCCGGAGCAGAGGCGCCGGCAGCCCCGGCAGCCCCGGCGCAGGGTGGGGATCGGCATGCGCTGGCACGGCCTCACTCACCAGACTGGTCCCGGCTCCTCTGCCGGCGACGCCGCTCAGCAGGAACCGGGGCAGGACCCACACGGTGCTCCCCGGCCTCACCGGCATCCCATAGCAGTGCTTGGTCCCATCCCGGTGCCACCGGTGCGTTGCACTGCTGCGTCTCGGCATGCCGCAGACAGAGGGGCATCGCTTCTTGCTGCCCCCCATTGCCCCCCCACCCCGGCACAAGGAACCAGCCACAGCGGTCCTGCCTGGACCAACAGGCAGGAGCTGTCTGGCAGCATCAAAGGATGTGGGGAGACCACGGTGCACACACACAGGGCTCTGGATGCTGCACGGATGGGGGATGCCATCCTAAATGGTGCCACAGGAGCACCGGTGACACCGGCTCACTGCAAGTGCCCAAGCCCCAGGAGATGCCCCAGGCAGTGGAAACCCCTTGTCTGCAGCCGGATCCACCCATCCCAGCTCGGGGAAGCACCCATGGGTGCCCCCACTAACCAGTAGCACCAGTCAGGCCAGCTCCGGCGCTGCCTCGCCTGGCCCCGGGAGCCTCCAGAAGCATCTTCCCTGCTCATTGCAGGGGGGCTGGATCAGTCGATGACCATTGAAGGTCCTTTCCAACCCAACCCAGTCCACGATCCTGGTGGCAACCAGAGCGGGGCCGGGTGCTCACCGGCAGGAGAACCCCAAAACCACCCCACGGAGGATGCTCCGTGCACCGCAGCGCGTTCGCGGTCCACGGAGGGGCTCAACACCACAGGCAGGGCTGGATCCGGCGCTCCAGAGCCGAGCATCCGAGCGGAGCACCCGGCGACATCGCGGCCGGGCTGGCACCGGCAGCACAAACCCCCCCTTCCCCACGCCATCTTTGTGCTGGGGATGGGGGGGGGCAGTGAAGACGATGCCCCCCCCTCAACGCTGACCCTGCTGCAGGCGCAGCCGTACCCCCCCTCCCCGTGCTCCCGCACTCCCACCCCGCATTCCAGCGGCGCGGGGCCCCCGAGCGCGGCCGCATCCAGCCTGGGCCTGGCTGCCGGCCAGCACCGCTCTGAGGCTCCTGCACGCCGCCGGCAACAAAGCCCAGCCGGGCCCCGCGTCCTCCTCTGTGTGTGTGTGTGTGTTCCCCCCCCAACACCACCCCGGGACTGGGATCAGTGCCCATCGCTGCCCCTCACCCCGGCGCCAGGCCGGCCAGAGGCCCCGCTGCCCCCATGGATGGATGGATGGATGGGAGCCCGATGGGATAACAGCGGGATGCACCCCCCCAGAGCATGGGATGCCAGCCGGGATGCTGAGCGCCGTGGTTCCCACGGTGGTTTGGGCATTGGGAAGTGTGTGTGTGTGTGGGGGGGTCCTACAGTCACCCCCTCGCTGCCGGATGGATGGGCAAGCAGCACGGCCGTGTCTCCGGTGGGATGGGAAGGGCTGGGGGGGGTCCTTACCTCCTGCCCTCCGGGGGGGGGAAAGGATACAGCTTCACAGCTCCAGCCTTGGTGCCGATGGCCATCACACGCAGGACAGGGTCGTAGGCCAAGGCGCTGGGCTGGCTGGGGAAGCCGTGCTCCACTGTCTGCCGGGGGGAACAGGCAGGTCAGAGCCGGGACATCCACCCCAAAGTCCCCCCCTTTCACCCCACGGCCAGAGCTTCACCCCGGGATGGAGGGCCGTGAGGATGCTGCCTCGTCAAGGTGCCACCAACGCGGTCCTTGGGGATGGGGACATCACTGCTCACCCAGTTCCCACCTGACACCCCCAAACCCAGCCAAACCAAGGGCTGGGGTCGATCCGAGCCTGCACCCAGCGGCAAGGGACCCCCACTCTAACCCCATACCCAAGGCGCGGAAGCCCTAGGAGGAAGTGGGATCCAGCTCATCCTCACCACAACATCCCTGGGGGTCCACGGTGCCGGGTGGCAGAACCAGGCAAGCAAGACCCACCGGTGCCAGGGATGTCCCTGCCGGAGCCATGTGCCCACAGGCACCTTCCCAAGGAAGTCCTGGCCATCCATGGCATGCCTGGGCACGCCGGCCGGGAGGCGCCTGGCGATGGGGGGACACAGGGGACACCCTAAGGTGAGGGCATCGGTGGCGGGGGGGAGAAGCAGCCCCGGGGGCAGCTTGGCTGAGCAGCGACGGCGCGATGGGATGATAGGGAGGGCGCCGGAGCCAGCCTGGCCGGATCCTGACCTGATCCCTTTGTCTGGGGCAGCTTTTTGCACCCGCTGGCACAGCCACCGTCACCTCCTGGCTCCCATTCCCCTCCATAGGGACACCTTTAGGAGCGTGGCAACATCCCTGTTCCATCCAGAGGGTCCCAGTGTGGCTTGGGGGGGGGGGGAGTTAGTGGGTGCTTGTGGGTCTATGTGGCAGCGTCACCCCAAATCCCATCGGGATGCGCGCTGCACCGGAGGATGACGGCAGGAGCAGGGATGCTTTAGGCTGGACACCACCACGACAACGACAGCGAAGCCCCACAGCGCTGCCCTCCCTGCAGCTCCATCCCCATGGGGGACCCGCTGGCAGCCCCCCATCCACAGCCCTTCCTCCCAGGCGGCAGCGGGGCTGCATCCGGCAGCCTGTGCCGGCCCCGGCCAAGGCGCGCTCCCGGCCAAATCACAGCAAATCCCAGGATTGCTGGAGCTCGGGAGGAAAAACAACCGCTAATGGGAGGCAGGTGGGCAGCCGGCGGCCCCCGCGCTGGGCTGCATGGAGAGGGGCTGATCCCGGCCCCCCCCGCCATGTCCCGGTGGATGCAGACCCTATGGGGAGGCTGCTTGGGCGGGATGCAGATGTGGGAGCATCCCCACTAAAAGTGGGGGGGGGCTCTGGACAGAGTGAGGTTTGTGTCCCGGCCGGACCTTCACCCATAGCAGTGGGGTTGGGGGGGAATAGGGATGTGTTGGGGTGGTGGGTGCTGCTCTGACCCCCACATCCCCCATCGTGGGGCATCCCAACACATCCCAGCGCCCAGGGTGATCCGGGGGTGCCTCCATCGTCCCCACCAGGACTTCAGGGAAGCGTCCGATGCCAGGATGCTGCCAAAGGATGGATGGACACGGGCTGGGCTCAGCCGGGGGCTGCTGCTACCGATGCGGTCCCAACACCATGGGAGTCCCGGGATGGGGTGCACCCCCCGGCACAACCCATCCACCAAGGGAAGGGACCGGCACCCGAGGGCTTTCAGGGTCCCCCCCCGGGTGTTTGATGCACCCCCCACCCTCCAGCAGGAAACCAAGTGGGGGACCAAGCTCTGGGCCCCGGGTATCCCCCCAGAGACACATCCTTGGGGTGCAAAGGGAGCCCCCGGGACCACCACCACATCCCCTCCCGCTGACACAGGGCTCCAGCCCCCCATACCCCACCCTCGGGCGGGGTGAGGACCTGACCCTCTCCCCCCCCATTGCAGCCGGGGATGCACCCCAAAACACCGCTGCCAATGAGCGAGGAATCCATAGGGAAGGGGCAGGGGTCGGATACGGGGGTCGCATCCTTCTCCGGGTGCGGGAGGGGGACACCGTGAGGCGGGGATGCCCGCTGCACCCCAAGGGAGACGGGCACCCCGCAGCCACGCACCGGGAGGTGCCGGTACCCACCATGGGGGTGCATCCCCCCCGGGATACCCCCATTGCCTGCATCGAAAGGAGGGGGGGGTGCTCCCCGGTTCCCATGGGAGCGGGGTCTGCCCTCCCGCCCGCACCCCGCTCTCCCGGTGCTCCCGTACCCCCCCCCCCATAGCCGCCCTCACCTTACTGAAGGCAAACAAGTCGTGCCGGATGCGGTCCCGGTGCGGGTCGGCACCCTGCCGCCGGAACCGAAACTTCATCATGGTGGAGCACGGTACCGGGAGGGGCGGGCGGGGCCGGGGCCGGTACCGGAGCGGGATACGGGAAGGGGGAGGGGGGGGGGGGGTGTCCCCCGGTAACCGGTTCTAAGGATCGGTCCCCGGTGGTTGTGGTTGATCCCGATCCCGATCCCGATCCCGGGTCCCCCGGTGCGCGCGCGCCGAGCCCCGGGGCAGGCACCGCCGCGGCGGGGCGGGGCGGGGCACAAAAGGGGGGGGGGGGTTTGATGGACAAAGGGTCTCAACCAATCAGCGCGCGCCTTCGCGGCGTGGGCCCGCCTACTGGCGTCACGTATGCGTCGGCGCAGGGGGGTGATGGGAGTTGTAGTTCTTTGGCGGAGGCGCCCTCTATGGGTGCTCTGTGGGGTTGGGATTGGGGGGGTTTGAAGCCAAGTCCCAGTTTTCCCTATAGGAAAACGGGGATGGGAGCGGCTGGGTGTTCCCAAAGGGTTTCTCATGGTCACAGGGCTCCCTGATCCATAGGGAGCCCTGGATTCGGTGCCTCTATAGCTATGGGGTCTTTGGGCAGCAGGATGCTGAGCATGGTCCCGCTCGGCGCGGATGCGCCGAGCGGGACCATGCTCAGCACCCTGCTGCCCCCTGCTACTGGTGTCCATGCCCCATCACCATGACTGTCCCCACAGTGAGGGGAGAACCATGCCCTGCACCCCGCTTTGGGGTGAGTCAACCCGAGGTAGGGCAGGGCTTCCCCCTCCCTGCTGACTAACATCGTTCCTGGGGTGATGCCACATCGGAGTGACACAGCTTTTGGGGTGGAAAATGGCCTGAGGGGGGGTGTTGACCTGATGCCCTTGGTGATGGGCTCATGGATGGGTGGGTCTCCCTCCGCTCACGGCCCCAAGGCTTGAAACCAAGCGGTGGAAAGGACATAGATCAGGGAGGAGCTCAGGAAGAGGATGGGCAGACCCCATCCAACCATGTCATCCCCTTACATCCATCTCCATCTTCCTCTTGCAGGAGGAAGGCACAGGGTAGGGAGGACGAGGGGCTCCATGCAAGGATGAAGTACAGGGGGATGCAGCCCCCAAGCTGGGGATATTTGGGGACCAAGTACTATGGAAGCTGCAGGGGGACAGTGTCCGTATCTGCTTCCCAGCCCCTGAGGTGGGAGAAGGGAGGGAATGGGGAAGGAAGGAAAGGAGAGAAGGAGGAAGAAAGGAGAGGACATAAAGAGGAAGGAAGGAAGGAAGAAAGAAAAAAGGAAGGAGGGAAAGGGAAAAGAAGGAAAGGAGGAATGAAGGGAAGGGGAATGGGAGGAGGGGAAGTGAGAAGGAAGGAAAGGAGGGAAGAGGAAGAAAGGAAGGAAGAAGGAAGAAAAGGAGGGAAGGAAGAAGAAAGAAGGGAAGAAGGAAGGAAGGGGAATGGAAGGGAAGGAGGGAAAGGAGAAGGAAGAAAACAAGGGAAGGGAGAAAGAAGGAAAGGAGGGAAGGAGGAATGGAGGGAAGGGGAATGGAAGGGGAAGGGAAGGAGGGAAGGGAGAAGGAAGGAAAGGAGGAAAGAAGGGGAAGGGAAGGAGGGAGGAAGAAAGAAGACAAGAAGGAAGGAGGGAAGAGAGAAGGAGGGAAGAAGGAAGGAGGAATGGAAGGAAAGAGGGAAAGGAAGGAACAGGGAAGGAAGGCAGCAAGCCCCATCCCCACTTTCTAGGGCAGCACAGGAGGGACGCACTCCATTTGGCCGCCCCATCCCTGGGGGGAGATGGAGACTCCCTTAATTTAGCAGCAGCTCCCACAGCCCCGTTCCTGCTGTCGGGAAGCAGGACACAGCTCCCATCCACCAGCACCACCACAGAGCCCGAGCGATGCTTTCTGCTTTTATTCAATTAATGCAGCAATCTATACAAGGGAAAAAAAAAAACCCAACCAAAACCCCAAAGTAATAACCATGAAAAGGTGGAATTCCAACCCCCACCAGCGAAAAACCGAATCCTTCCCAAGAAACCAACGGGAATCCCAACGATTCCCCCCCCCCCTCCCCTTTGTCAGCCTGTACAGAAAATAATCTCTGCCCCATTTACAGCGTTTCACACAGTACTTCTCGTATCCCCAAACGTCTCAACTGTACAACTTTGATACAAACCCCGGCTTTTTCCTAGGAAAAGCTTCCGGAAAAAAAATATTGCCACTTTTATTTCTCGTTATTTGTAACAAAACAAACAAAAAAAAGGGGGGTGGGGGGGGGATTCAATTCTTTAGGGAAAAAAAAGAGAAAACCCTAAAATTCAAAGTCAGAACGTGAAGTGTGGTGGGAAAAGGAAGCCGAGATGCTTCCCAACTGAGGATTTCTCCTTCCCGCTGGGAAAGGGATCACTTTGGGCTGGTAAAAGACTTTCTGCTGCTGGTGGGGTCCCCCCCCAATGCCCTCCTCAATGCGTTTTGATCCATGGGGTGAGCGCTGGTACCAACAGCTTCAAAAGGCAGAGGTCAGAGCGCTCATCCCAATGGATGCCCGTCTCCATGAGTGATCCCTTGGGATGAGCCAAGCCTGTGGGAATACCAGCTCTCTCCTACCATCTGGATGAGCGTTCAGCAAGTGTGGAACCAGACGTGCCAAGCCGGGCTCTGTCTGCAGCTCCCCTCTTAGAGCCAGCAAACAGCCCTTCCTATGGACACAGGGAGCCCACTCCATGGATGTAAGAGCTTTAGTTCCATCCCTGAGCCTCCAAGAGATACAGCTAACAGTGAGAGACCCCAGCTCTTCCTGCTCTTAGCAGAACTGAGGGGATGGAACCCACCAAAGCAGGATGAATCCCACCAAAGCAGGGACAGACCCCACTTTCTCCCCCCTTCCTTAAGACAGACAGTTCTCCCGGTCTGGGCTGTGGGTGTATGGGATCGTCACACTGAACATAGCCTTATTCCCAGTTTCGGGATGAGCAGGTTACACCAATGACACGCTGTGGGTGGATGGAGAGGAGATGGGACTGCACGATGGGACTGAACAGATACAACAAAGCCAACGGGGTCAGGTCCGTGCATGAGGCTGGGGAGGACTTTTGGCTCTACACCAGAGCTCGCCACACTCCAGACCCACGGCACCAGCCTGACCTGAAGCCCAACACAGCCAATGACAGAGAAGAGGTATGGGTATCACCAGTATTAGAGCTACAGCTTTGCAGGTAGGTTGCAGCTGGGGATCCAAACGCCTGGATCCCTATGGAAATGTGTTTGGAATCAGGGATTCACTCTGCTGTTGTTCAGTGCAAAAGAGTTAAAAAACGATGTTATCTACACATATACATCTGTGTCTATAGAAAATGTCTGTACAAGAGGGGAAGGTGGCCTGCCCACACGCTGGGGACACCCAGGAGATGCTACAGGTCAGGCTGGTTGTGCCCCATTCTCACTCCAAGGTGTCAAGCCCCAACCAACCAGGTTGAAAACACGTGAGAAGAGTGGTGAGGAGCTCCTTTTGTCCCTCCAACCACACCCACCAGCTCAGACCCACTGCGGGGATGTGGGGCAGGGAGGAAGAAAAGAGGGGAAGAGCTTTTGCTCCACAGCAAAACAAGGTGGGAGAGGAAGGATACCTGCACACACACAGACTGGATGAGGTGATGGTACCAGGCTAGAGGATGCAAGTAAGGCTGAGGAGTGAGACCTCAGGATGTCTTGTTCAGCCTTCAGTGGAGACAAAGCCAACACCTCATCCCATGGGATTCCTGCTCTGGAAAGCAGCCCTGGAAAGCCAGGCTGCCTCCAGCTTCGAGCTGACACCAAGGTACAGCATCCCTATTGCAGAGGTAGGTGTAGAACTGGAAGCTGGTGGGGAAGAGCTGGTTGTGCAGAGCCTGGCAGTGAGCACTGCAACCATGGTATCACCCACATCAGACCTGACACCGGGACACATCCAGGATGAAGCCAGGAAGACAACTGGAAACAGGCACTGCAGGCATCCTGCTAGCAGGTCCCCAGCTCACCAGAGACATCTGCACCAGCCATGAGGAGGAGAAGGGATCGCTGCTCCCTGCATGTGGTTCGCTATCAGGGGAATGCCAGGCTTTCCAAAACAGTGGATGTGTAGCCAAGAGCTGGCCTGGATTCTCTGCAGAAAGGTGGGAGGGCGAGGAACACCCCTTTGGATGCTAAATGTGGTCTGGAAATGGGGTTTTAAAGGGTTCAGAAGCAGCAGAAGCACTGACTTTCAGATCTCCGGGCAGACAACACCAGGTTCTGCTCCTCTACCTCCGTATGGAGCCAACAGTGGCTGTCACCAGGAAACCAACCTGCTAACAAGAGACAGGCAGTGAGAGCCCCACCTGTAACGCTCCACACATCAGCTCTGTGCTGCAGGTGACAGCCAGCTCCTTTGTACTAACATGACCAATAGATCCAGCCTGAGCAGCGACCCCAACAACAGGAGAGGGGCAGGAGCTACGGGAGTCAACGGGGAAGGCAAAGGACACCCAAGACCCAGATGTCAGCAAAGGGCACTGCGAGGAGCAGCGCTTGGCGTGGTGGGGTTTGACTGGGAGCCCCTCAAGACAGCAGCAAACCGGGTTTCAAAAGAGATTACATCTTTTTATTGCCGAGCGTGCGGGCCACGAAGTGTGAGAGGGACACGACACGAAGAGAAACTACACCTGGGAGGAGGGCAAAGCAGCGGGGGTTTAAAAAGAAGACTACTCCTTACAACTGCCAACGCTTGGGTTCAAGGAATCAACCGGAGGAAGCCTCTTAAAAGTAGGGTTCTAAAGATGCTCTTGGGCCCCAAAGCTTTGGGAACACACCGAGGCTTTGGTCTGGGCTACCGCAAGCCGGGAGGGAGAGGAGGAAGGCAGCAATCTAACGCTAACGCCATGGGGCCCAACGCCTGGGTCTTCCCTGTAGCAAGCAGAAAACCCCCTGCCCCAGGAATACAGGCAGGGATAAAGCCAGGAGGAGGTGGGCAACCACTGCTGAATGCACTGAACTGAGGCCAAGCTTAGACCCTTGCAGTGTCCCCGCTCCGAGAGCCAGCCTTGGAGGGGACACTCTGCAGCAGAGCTGCCCGAGGCCATGGCAGTGCCTGTTCCTGCTCCATTAGAGCGCATCCCTTGGGATGGGCTGCTGCATCACCTCAACTCTCTCCACCTAAAGGGGCAGGGGGGTGAAAGCCAGTCCCCCAGGCATGGAGAACAGCGCTTCCCAGGGGGTCCCAAGGCAAACGTCCTTCACAAGCACAGCAACTCTCCTATTCCTCTTTGCTATCCCCAGCTCTGGGAAGCAGCATGTACTCAATGTGATCACTCCCTCAGCAGTCCCAGGGCTCCAATATGGACCTGGGGCCAGCCTCACTGAAGCCAGACACGTTTCCTTCTTCCTCAAGCAAAACACACTCCTCATCAGACCAGCACTGAGAAACCAGAGCTCAAGTACATTCCTCTCGGAGAGGGCAGCACAGGGAACTGTGCGAGCCCACGCTGGCTTGGGAAAAGGGACTGGAAAGGAAACCTATGTTAAAACTGGTACTAAAGTGCAACAAAAAAAATGTCCTAAACCCTTTGAAATCAACCGCAGTTAAGAGGGGTCTGCAAAGCTTCAAACTTCCAGTTACTGCAGGGCATCCTTAAACCAAACCCAACAACAACCAGGTCGGAGCAGACCAAGGAGCCCTTTGGTGAAGCACATCCGAGGCCACCGCAGCGAGTTTCAGCTCCTGGGGTCAAACGTTACATTTAGACCATGTGGAAAGGAGGAAAGTTAAAGCAAAGAAAAGAAACACCCCCCCCCCCCCAAAAAAAAAATACAATTCCTGAATCCTGCACAACAAAACGGGGAAACTTTTTTGGTGTTTTCAAAAGCAATCCCACCAGACAGCCTGCCATCACTTTATCTGTTTCCTAAGGGAAGAGATGCCCGTTTGACCCCATGACTCAGGGCACCCTGTGCACTGGACATGTTCCCATCCTGCTGTATGTCTCAGCATTCCTCCATTCATCAAAGCAAATCGCTAGGATCCTTCCTGTTTACTCTTCAGCCTGAAAGGAAAAACCAAAACTGAAGCTAGATGGAAGATAGCCAGAGGGAAGAGAGAGTTTTCACAGACTGGAGGCCAAGTGGCTCCACTACGAGCCTGGAAAGTGCAATCCTCAGTGTCGCCTCATCTTAACTTTCCTGGCTGGGCTTCCATCCTCCTCTTCCTCGTCACAGTCCTCCGTGTACTCGTAAGACCTTCGCCAATAGTTCTCGGAGCTGAAGTTGCTCCTTCTCCTATGTTTTGGTAAGAGGACCGAGCGCCTGTTCTCCTCTTTATCCATTTCTAGAATCCGTGGCCTATGGGAAAAGAGGAAGAAGGGAGCGTGAGCACATCCACGGCGGGATTTCAGCATTCCCTGTGTAGCTCTGCACACTTTGAGCGCCGTGACTGACTGTTTCCACATCACTTTCCCAGTCCTGGGCACCGAGCACAGCAGGAACAGATCACCCCCTTGCACCTCCCACAGGGAAGCTGGGAATTGTGCTTTTGATGGTGCACGGTTTTCCCCTTCCCAAAGCAAGTTTTGGTCCTTACCTCCATCAGGAACACTTCCAAACAGCCCAGTCACCTCTTGCTAAGTGCAGCTTGTGGCTTCAAGAAACATCCCTTGGGAAGAAGGCTCTGTCTCTCCTATAGGAGAACTCGCAGCAGAGAGCTGGGCTCCTTTTTAAGCTGCTGGGGTCCTTGTGGTGCAGGATCAAACCCCAGCTCTGAGCTTCTTTGTCCTCTCAAACATCAGCACAGGGCAACTGTTATTTCTACTTCCTACTACAGCTTTGCTGCCTCTGCTCTTGTCTGCGATTGCTTTGGAGCAGGACAGGGCTGGAGGGCTGCACACACCACTTATCATATCCTAAGTGGCAACTGCTGAGTTCCATAAAGAGATACCACCACATGATATCCATGCTGGTTACCTATGTTACACTTGGGGTTTTGAGGCCAAAGGAAGACAAAACCAGGCTTTTGATACTCATCAATCTGCTGCAGGCATCTATGCACCACACCCTGATCAGGTTATAGAATGGTTTGGGTTGGAAGGGACCTTAAAGTTCACCCAGACCCAACCTCCTGCCACGGGCAGGGACCCCTTCCACTGGAGCAGCTTGCTCCAAGCCCCTGTGTCCAACCTGGCCTTGAACACTGCCAGGGATGGGGCAGCCACAGCTTCCCTGCTCCCAGCAGGCTGCCGAGCAGCTCTGGGAGATGCACAGATTTGTTCTGCATGATCGCTTCTCTAATCACACACCAGCCCACTGCGTGCTCCCAGCTTTCATCCGCAGCCTCCTCTTCTTGCTGCTCCTCCCCGGTCAGGCAGAGTGCAGGTGAATGAACACTGCTCATAAACACACCATCCCCGCCCGCCTCCCTCCGGGACAGGTTGAAACACGGGCTGGGAGCGCAGAGCCAAGCCCCAGGCCCAAACCATGCCTTCCACATGACAGGCAGAGAACACGGCACGGTCCTCAGGAGCATTTGGAATTGGGGAAGAGCAGGATTATCCCTCACGGCTACCGGGACGTTCACACAGAGCAAGGTGGTGTTTGAGGGAAGCTTTGCTGCAGAGCTCAGGCTCCTCAGCAAGGAGCTCTCCTGAAGGTCAGGCTCACACATTCACACAGTCTGGTTATACACGCATGCAGCTCAGGAACCAAAACAGGTCTGAGAAGCTTCCCAAGACGACCTTCACCTTTCCCAGATAGCAAACCCTCCCTTTCTCCCTCCCAAGATTGCTTTCATAATATAGCCTAACGCAGCTGCACAGGTTGCTTGGCAATAGAGGTCAAAAATAATTAGCTGCAGGGAAACTATTGTTTGGAATGACTGCATTATCAGGAGCCAGCCAAATCTATTGCTTCTTCATTATGCCACTCACAGGATAAACAATGTAAGCTGCTTACAGCCAGAGCTTAGCCTCCACAAGCCTAGGAGGAACGTGTGTTCTGATAAAGCACATCTGTACACTACTGAAAGCACCTGGGAGGTGCAAAGCGGGGTGCTTTTAAGTGCATTCGGCAGCCTCTCTTATCTGACACCGGGACAGACACGCACAGCCCTAGAGATAGCATCCGAAACGTTGCTTTTAGGAGAGATGATCCTACCTGTGAGCAGCATCAGGGTCTGCTTTGCGATGGGACCGCTTTGGTTTCAGGATCTGGTCCCGGTTGCTTCCTGAGTTATAACCCGGTGGCAACACAGAGCTACTCAGGGATTTTGTTTCCAGTCGAGGTGCATCTAGTCTTGTTCTGCAAATAGTTAAAGGGAAGAGAATGTGCAAGGAGCTTCTACAGAACCACGAGTGTGCTGCAGCAGGTATTGACCCTAGGTGTGCTGAAACCACCTTCAGTCCCAGCCACGCAGCTCGGGAAGAGGGTCAGGACTATTTACACCCAACAGCAGAACAAGCTGCAGCTTCCTGACACTTGAACCTTCAGCTTTAACCTTTGCTGCCTTGGTTAGAGGGATATATGAGGGGAACACCGATGGTGCCAGGCTCACCAGCATACCGGTTATGGGATAGAGGCACTGGTGCACTTGTGAAATCCTATGAAATCACAGTGACTGGTCGATAACTCACAGCTCCTGTTAAGCCACCTGTGAAATTCATCATCACCTCCATCAGTAATAACTGCTTCCAGGTGGAAACTCCCTCCTACCTGGAGTTCTCATGGGGTCAGGCGTTTCTCAGCTTGACTAAGAGGTGTAAAGAGTTGAAGCACGAGTCAGGAGAAGGCCTGGCCAAGAGAAGCTGCACCCACATCCCTTCCAGCAGCACAGAACACGCTCAAGCTGCACCAGAGAGCAAGCACAGCTCGTCCCAAAGCAGAGCTGCTGCTGGATCACGCACTGCTGTAGCCATGCACAGGGGGAGGGAGGCAGCAGGAATGAGCACTTGGTGTAGTTTATCACAGCTCTATCACCATCTCCAAGCACAGCACAGTTACCAGCTCAACTTTGAAGCTCTGCTAAAACACAGACTGAAGGCTAAGAATGGGCAAAACACACCCGGAGGTGGTGCTGGTGCTCCAGAATGCCACCTCCAGGAGGATGCAAGCAAATCCCAGAAGGAAAAGCACCCTGATCCTTTTGTTGCAGCCTGTCTCCCTCCTTTGGCTGAGAGCTGAATATGTAAGGGGTTTGGGTGATACAAAGAGGAGAATTCCTACTTGCTCTCTAGCGCTAAAGTTCAGCACCTGAGGGAGGTTTCCACAGAAGAAACCCAAGCTAAAATCCCATTAGGAAGTACAGGAGGTTGCCAAACTTCCTCTCTGCTACTGTGAGAGCCTCTTCAGTTAAGCAGGGTGATGCCATGCTGGCAGTTGTGAAACTGAGCAGAGCAACCCTGCTCCATCCAGCATGCCAGAAACAAGGAACACCTCCACAGGCAGCTGCCTGCTCTAGTCCACACCACCATCATCCTGAGCTGTTCCCAGCTCCAGGACTGGACCCAGCCCCGGCAGAACACCAAAGGCACTGTGGATCCTGCCCTGAACAAGTTCTGCGGTTTAAATACCTCTCAAATACAACAACTACAGGCCTGCAATTAAACCAAACCACCAAGTGTACTGCAAGGGCACAGGAACAGCAGCCACGCTCGCCCTGTCCACAGAGCAATGCAGCTACGAGCTGCAGGAGCAAGACACTAAAATGGAGAGCAAATCACCTACCAAAGTCCAAGTTACATAGAATCATTCTGATGTTAACTGCTTACACATGGCAGCATAAGCCCTCCCAGATGACTTTCAAGACCCATCTCAATAGGTTTCATTTCCATCCTACCTCCCATGTTACCTCCTTCAGCATCTCAGGAAGGAGAGCACCGTTCCTCCCCACTCCAGCCTCTTGCTCCAAAAGCTTCCAAACCTTGCTGGTTCCCCACCATCCTGCACTCCAGCACGCAGGAAACACTGTAAATATCATCACTCTACAGCACTCAAGTGTTTATGACCTACTTGGGAACCACACCGCTCCCCAGCAGCCTTCAAAACCCAGCCACTGCTCCAGCTTCCACAGCTTCCTTCTGCCACTGCCAGCGCAAACCATCTCTGGATCCACACACTCCAAGTACAGGCAAGAGCAGATCCAGATGCCTGGGACCCAGCAGGCTCTGATAGCCTAATCAGAGCCAAGTATCCCAGCTTCAGTGAAGCTTATGCTGCTCTATACCCCAACTGACCTGATCCCATTGGATAACTCAGGGTTGATCCTTACCACGAAGATGAGGAAGAGGAGTTTTATGTCCGCTGCTCCCAAGCCTTTCATGCTAGCAGGCTACCAATGGAAGCAGCTGTTTTCCTGCTTGCATAACACACTACTTGAGCCTGCCCAACGTGGCAGGATCCAGGAGCGGGGAATGGTGTTTGCTGCAGGAATACATGCCGCGGGGATGCGAGGGCAGAGGAAGGTCACCGCAGCCCCGCTGCGCGCGCACGCATGCACGAGACGTACCATCACAAGGGAGAAGCAGCAATTAATAAGCTCTATTTAGCAGCCATCAGAGTGCACCCTTTGGCAACCAGGCAACTGCCGTGTAAGCACCAAGGGGCTGCCGAACTCTATGGAGATTACACATCAAGAACTACCAGGGGGGTCCCGTTTTGCTCCTCAAGAGAGAAAAGCCTGGTGCGGTTTCATTCAGCCTCCCATTGCTGTCCGCGTGTGAGCGGGCACACACTTCTGCTCTAAGACTAAGTGAATCAGGGCCCTGAAATGAGGGGAAGACAGAAGGACCCAGGGCTACAGGATGGCTAAGCAAAACCAGCCGATCCGCTCTGCTAGGAGCTAACAGCTTTGTCTCTTCAGCAGCCACGCACCAGGTCGGCTGGGTGCTTCTCTGCAGCTCTACGTGTCCACCCAGATGCACATCGAGGGCATTCAGGCAAGACTGAAACAACTTGACACCCTCAGCTTACAGAGGATGGCAGAAAACCAAGAGGAAGATGCCAGTTTAAACAAGTGTGCCCATCATTTGGGCAGCTTTAGCTGATTTAGCCAAGTCTTTCTGAGGGAACTGCTCCACAGCCTAATACAGAAGCTTCTCTTCTCTATCCCAAAGCCCAACTAGTAGAGTTGAGATGCCTTCCACTGGTGTCTATCAGCACTCACACTGCTTGTCACGGGCTGCAGCAACCAACAACACGAATGCAACAGCCTTTTAGTTCTTATCACAACCCTTAAACCCCATGTGGCAATAACCAGCTATGGAATGGTTTGGCTGTAATCTTTCATCCCACTCTATCACCTGCCACATCTCATCCTGCCTCCCTGGGTCTGGGCTCATTTTGCCTGGTTAATGCCTCAAGGCTGCTGTTTTCCTTGCCTTCCTTTCAGGGGTCTCTCTAACCAGATGTCCAACTCCACTCCACTGGCGTTGGGCCCTATCTTCACAACGGTGCCAAACTTGTTCTGAAACCAACTACGCCATCCAAAAGCTCAGCAAGTCTGAACCTAGACTGCTTGCCTGCTAGCATGGGCAACTGCAGCCCTGCCACCAAAGCCCATGCTTTCAGTTGGACTCACAGCATTCAAATCGTGTGTTTTCACTTGCAGAGATTTCCTGACAGCAGAATTACTGCTAACACCTTCTATGGCACAATCAGCATGGGTCAGTGTGTGTGGCAGTCACATTTTTCCATCTCCTAGGAGAAGGAACTGACGAGAGAGGACATTTCTGGGCACAAAAGAAGGTTAAACTGAGGGAGTTTGGGATAGGGTTGGCTTATTTTTTCCTCCATTTTCTTAGAGGCTTTAGGAACAAGCACTGGTTGATGGTTGATGAAATGCCATCAAGGCAGTGTATCTTCTAAACAGCTTCCAGGGCCTGGCTTCCCACCAGCAACTTGAAGGACAGGCTCTGTAAAGCGATCACTGAATTCACTGCATCCATTTCCCTTCGCAGCCAGTGTTGTCCTCTCCAGGAAACAAAAGCCATGCTACCAAGAAAACTTTATCTGCTTTAAAGCTGATTCCTCATCGTAAGCATCAGCTCCAAAGGACCATGCTGCTAACTCACAGGTGTGGGTATCGTATGATCAGACACCTGAATACATGGCCCCAAACAAGAGTTTGAAACCCTAGCTGTTTGCAGCTAGGCAGGTAACAAAACCCAGGTGTTGGGACACAAACAGGGCTTGCAAACCCAGGCATTACAATGAAGCAGGGCTGCACAGAGCCAAGAAGTGATTAACTCTGCAGTAACAAGTTCCACCTACTTCCACCATAGGTATGGCATCAGTGAGCATGAGAGTGACAGCTAATCAAGATGGAAGATCAAGCCAGCAAATTAACAAGTAAGGCAGTTTTAAAGTGTATCTTTAAAGCACATCACATCGCATCCGAGTTTATCTCGGTGTCCAGAGGGCTTCAACACTTACTTTCGAAGGATGATGACGGCTCTCCTCTCCTTGATGTCCTGTGGTCGAATACAGTGTGTGATTTCATCAGCTGCATAGCCACTGGCAACAAAAACAGAAAGCCACTGTGAGAAAAGGACAGGCAGAAAGCAGCCCCAACACCTCAGTCTGGCCAACCATTCCCTAACTTCCAGCAGGAATTCCTCCTCCACACACCGCTCTCCCTGGCACACAGGAGCAAGACTTAAAAGAAGGAAGAAACTTCAAAAAAAGAAGGTTGTTTGGGGTTTTTTTACTCAATTTCTTAGTGTATATCAGAGGAAACAGCCACCTGCCACAACACTGTGCAATAAGACACGTAGGAAACGAGTTTATGGGAGCACAAATTCAGCTGCTTCAAGGATCAAAACTCAGCACACTGCTCCAAATGCGTGCCCCCAGGGAAACCCACCTTTCGTGGCTGAGATGTGCAGCACACCCAGACACGAATGCATCCTGATTTGTTAGTCAAAGAGGGGGTCAAGGCTCTCACCCCCATCACCTAGACACAGATGCTGCCATCTCAGCACCCTCATCCTCCCTGATGCAGCACAACCTCAGCCACAACACGAACATCACCCCCCGAGCACAGCCCAACCCCAACACAAGGCACATGGGGTAACCTTTACATCCAGACCTGCAAATAGAGCTGGAAACCCCTCAAAATCTCCCTGCCAAGGGGCAAGACAGACCTCGACTGAGGGATCAAGCAGCTACATGGCTACACAGCAGCTGTACTCAGTAGGAGTGTTTTGCTCCTGCGGGAGCACATCTCATCACTCCCATGGATGCTAACAAGAGGTGGGCCTGCCCTCTACCTGCTGCTTGGAGTGTCTGCTCACTGCAGAGCCTTCTAGAGCCCAGGATGGGTTAAAGAGAAGTTTGGTATCTTCAGAGCCTCCTGAAAGAGCTGAGAAGCACAGGAATACCTCTGAAAAGCACAGGAATACCTTTGGAGGGACTTGGGTGAAGGCTGCTGAAGCCACACAAAGGTAGCACAACCCCATGCTGGTTTAACCTGAAGCAGAAGCCACAGAGCCCACCGTCCCCATGAGGCTTTACCATGAAGGGGCTGCTGCACTGGCTCAGCAGCTTCCAGGTTATCCCAGAGCAGATCACACACAAGCCAGGACAGGACCAGGTTTGCTTTATCTGGTTAGATAACCCACCCACTCAGTGCGAAACACACCTTAAGGACAGATTTACTGCTTTGAGAAGGGAGTTAAAAGGCTAAGAGCTGATCTGTTAATACAGGGGTTGATGTCCATTCCCCCACCCCACCCCAGCCTCTGAGGCACCGCAGAGGACAGCAGCATTATGAGAAGGGGTTTATAATGATGCTCTATTATGTTCCAGGAACCTCTGCGTCAAGCTCCAGTGAATTCATTAATATCACCCATGTTAACATTCAACCCAGTGCATCCTCAGTGACACGACAAACATCAGGGAAAAGGTCTATTCCAGCCCTGTGCTTTCCATGAGGAAATGTCAGCAAGGTTTGCACAGGCAAAACCAGGCAGAGAAATGGAAGAAAAAGCTTATTTGGTTCTGTCACACTTACGTGTTCTCACCCTCTGCCTGGCCTTGCTGCATCCTGATGGTGTGCCAAGGGAGAGACATGGGACAAAACACCTGTAATGACATTGAGGGTCTACCCAGACATTTCTCACCCAGAGAAGAAACCCAAAGCATGAAGGAAGAGACAACTTGGCAAGGAAAACCCTAAACCTCTCTTTATGAGAACACCCAAGCATCAAGTCTCCAGCCTAAAGCGTTTTCCCAGAAGAACATGGGGAGGTGCAGGTGCCATCCACACACTCCCGCAGCTCCCACCCCAGCTCCTCACCAACCTGTCACATCTCACACCCCCAGCTCCTGCCCGAGCCTTTTCCAGTCCAGAAGAGCTGCTGCTGAGCCACAACACAACTGATTCACATGGAGATGAAAGCAAGGGGTTCTGTACAAACACCACCTGAAAGGAGGCCCTGGAGCTCCACATCTAATGGGATGTGTTTCCAGGGGCTGAGGACAGGCAGGGGGACCTCACACACTGGCCCATCACAGGGCTGAGCAGCTCAGGGCTTTACTTGTGGTTCAGGGATGCTGCTGCCACAAACCATGGCTGTGGCACCAACCAGCTCAAGCAGAGCTTGAACACATCTATTTATCTCCTCACCACTGGCACACACACAGAACTTCCCCTGCACCAACAGCCTGTCCTGAGGGATCAGACTTTTCTGGGAAAAGCATCTAATCCAGGCAGCTGTGGAGAGATTCCTGTGGCTGGGAAGAAAGCAGGCTCATCCTCAGACTGCAACCAGCTCTGGTTACGCTACCCTGAGACAACAGGAGACACAAACATCACATTGCCATTGCCACTGCTCTTACAACACGGAGCACTCCCCAGCTGCAGAAGAGAAGCCTGTACATCACACAAGCTCTGCAACACACACACACACACACACACACCCCAGCTCAATTCCTTTTATCCAGCCTAAGCATTTGTCAAAGCACATGTTCCCCAGATGAACAGGCAAATTCCTCCATCTCCTCCCCACTGCTTCCATCGATCGATGCTTATCAAATTATAGGTAGAAAAAGAAAACCCACAAACAAGGTCCAGACAGGATTGAAACCCCACTTAACTCTGCCTGAGAGAGCAAGCAGCTCCTGCCACCTCCTTTTAGCCTGGCTGGCAGCGGGACAAACCTGAAGGAGCATCCGCCTCCTGGTGCTGTTAGACAACAGGGGCTGGAGGAGGTTGTCTTCTATAAGCCAAAACCGACAAGGAAGAGGTCATCTTCTCCTTTAAGTCAAGCCTACAAGGGCCAATCTTGTGAAAAGAGAGGGAGAAGTGCTTTGCTGGAAGAGCAAAGGGTTCATTAGCAGGTGGTGGAGTGGCTCAGCCTTTTGCCCTGCTGGCAAAGGTGCTCAGCTCAGGCAGGAGAATCTCGTTTCCACCTTTTAAAGGCAAAGTTCTTGAGATATGAATGCTCTTCAGTGAGTCTGGGGCAGGCTCACTGCTTGCAAACACCACAGGGTGGGCAAACGGAGTCAAAGGAGGGATATGGGGAATGCCCCTCTGCATACTCCCTGCTGGGTAGGTGGAGGGCAGCTTAGAACAGGCAGGAACAGGACAGACATGACCCGGGGACAGCCTGAGGCCAATGTGAGGGCACAGAGAAGAGCTCCAACAGCTTTCTTTAGATCCTCACGGCTTCCACACGGTAACCAAAGCCATGTGCCTGCACTGCTGGCAGCAGCCACTGCCCCAGCAGCACTGGAATCACAGACATTACAAGCATGCCATTTCTATCTGCGCCGTTTCCCTATCTCCAGGGCAACTGCCTTCAGGAACTGTTTACTGAGAGGAGAACAAGCCAAGTTTGGGGAGTTGACTTTAACACGACCAAGGGCTGGATTTGGGATATAGACCCCTGAGAGCCTGCCGAGGGTCTGCACCTCTCCCTAAACTGCCAGGGTTAGAAGGGCAGAGCGGAGTCCAGGAACTCCCATCCAGCCAGGATCATATCATCACAGAACAATCACTTTGGCAGAATCTCTCTTAAGTGAGTGCTAAGTATCTGCTAACTGCAGTACCAAAACTGAAATAATCCCTGTTTTAAAGGCTATTATTTGCTGGAGAGCAGAACTTCTAACGGGGATTAAGCTAGGGAATAAATGGCCTGCGGTGGGGTAGAAAGCAACCCTTCTGTTTGGAAGGAAAACAAGCTCTCTTGGTTTGATTTGTACCATTGCTTCAGTTAATAAACTGATTACAGCACCCAGGTGACCTGGCCAACGACCCAAACACACAGGCCTGGGAGACACCCTCGGCAACCCCTGAGCCCTGAGTCAGCTGCCTCTTCCCGGAAGTTACAGAGGGAAAAGCGAGGATACGGCACCAGAAAACATCAGTTCCTGGTCCTGGAGCAGAGCAAAGCACCTCTCCTGCTCCACTGCAAGTCCTGATCCTGCTTTGGCTGGAAAGCCATGAGTTTTCCTAGTGGCTTTGCCTGCAAAACTCCAGAGTGAGCCTGCACTAACAGCTCTGCCAGCGTGCTTCTGAGCAAGGAAACGCTCTCCCTGTCCTTAGCAAAAGACCTCTGGCTCTGAAAGGAAGGACAAGTATTTACCCCAGGCCTGCCAGGGAATGGCAGCACAAAGGTTCACCTCACCAGCAGGAAAACGAGGGTGGAAACATCCTCAGCGCCACTGCCACTTCCCTCCCTAATCCACACGAGTTACCTAACGCCGGGGGTACCCCATGGGTTAGCTCATGTTTGTGCAGCTTTTCCAAGAGGGAAGCGATGCGAGAGCTCAGCATTTATTATTGATGCCCCCAGTCAGCGGGTGAGGCTGTGTGGATGTGGGGGGAAGAATTCCTTCCCGAACCCTGCGGCGATCACTTTACAAGCCAATGGAAGGGATTGTGTTACTGCTTGGGAGCCCTGAAAACCAGCCTGGACCTTCCCCAACCCCAAACCTAAAACCTCAAATGGGGATACCATTGGTAGCTCTGCCCTGCTGGCAGAGGCCAGGTGATCCCTGCTCCTGGCAGGGAGCGCTCTGACCTTCAGGGACATGAGGGGTTGGTGCTCACGGAGTTAAGCAGCCCCAGTGCTGGGCTTTGAGACGCAACCCCTAAGTCCAGGACACCAGTGGGTCCGTATGCACCAGCTCCACACAATCCTGCCTGTCCCTGTCCTTTTACCTGCCTGCCCAGCACAGTTTCCCAGTGTCAATCCCAGCTTTACCACCGACTGGCTGCATGACCTTGGGCAGGTCATTTCACCTCCACAGCTCTTCCTTTGCTTGCAGGAATGCACAGTTAAAACCCTTCCTTGTGCCCGTGACCCGCAGCGCTTCCAAGCAACCCTTCCCACAGGGCTCTCCCATCTCCCCATTGGCATCAGGCAGGAGAGGGTTCAGTATTCCCAGTTTAGGGACTGGGAGGACGAGGCCATTCACACCTCCTCCTCTCCACCCTTAAGGTCAGGTCGGGAAGGCATGGCCAAGCTAAGAATAGACCCAGGAGCCCCATCCCAACCAGCTGCTCCGCTCTGACCGCTCATGGGCAGAGGATCCATTTTGTGTCTCGATGTGTTATTTTAACCACTGACAGGCAAAGCTCAGCTCCAAAAGTGGCCTCGCTCCCAGCACGACTCCCCTCAAACCTTACGGAGAGGGCACCCTCCATCCCTAAAACCCCTATCCCCTCCAAACCCTTCCGATACCCCTTCCACCAAGACCCCGCATGCTTGCGGGCGGGTGAGATCAAGCCCGAGCCGTGCATCCGCGTGCCTCACGACGAGCGTTACACAACTGAGCCCCCAGCACGTTAACGGGAGGCCTTGAGGGCGGGTTACCTGAGCACCGTGACGCTTCCCCTCTTGACGGGCAGGAAGAGAACGGGCTCCGAGACCCTGATGGGTTTGAACTGGAATTTACACCCGAAGCAAAGCGCCGAGTCGCTGAAGAAGGAGACGGAGACGATGGGCCTCTCAAAGATATGGATGGGGTCCACGTGGGAGACAATGCATCCCCCGGGCTGGTAGTCGTTGATGACGGCACTGTTCACAAAGTCCTCGGGAATCACCCGGTGCTCCACCAGCTTCCTGATGACCAGGTCGTGCACCCACTCGGGGATAGCATCCACCTCTCCCCTCGGATACAGGCGCTCCTGCCCGGGGCCTCGTCTCTGCAGCTGAGACCCATAGGTATAACCCTCCCCGAAGAAATACTTGTTCCGCAGCGGGGCCCGATCCACCGTGTGCTCCTTATAGAGCCCCTTCTCCGCCCGGGACACCACGTCCTCGATGCGAGCTTCGATCTTGGCGCACTCCTCGGCGCTGAAGAGGCGAAGCTGGCGGATGCCGCTCTTCACTTTCCGAGCTTCTTCTTCCTCCTTCTGCTCCTCGTAGTCGCTGGGCTCGGAGCCGGAATCCTCCTGGTGCCGCCGCTTGCGATCGTAAAGGGGGGGGTCGGGGGGTTCCCGTGCGAGACCTCCACCGCCGCCGCCTCCACCGCTCCCTTTGTGGCCGTCCCGGTAGGGCATCATGGACTTGAGCTTCTCCCGCAGGTCCGTGTAGCCGGTGCCGGCCATAGTGCGTCCGCAGCCCCCGCCTCTATCGATCCCGGCGCTGCAGGCGGCGGCGGGCGGCGGCGGGGGACGCGCAGCTGCTATTCATGGCACCCGCCGCCCTGCGGGAAGAGCCCCGGAGGGACGGGGAGGTGAGGACCGGGGGAGGTGAGAAACGGGACCGACCCCCCCCCCCCCCCCCGTTCCCGCCATATCGCGACTTGTTCCACCCCCCCCCATCAACCGCGATACGGGACCCGGCTCCCGCCCTCCCACCGCGACGGGGGGGGAGGGAAGGACGGGAGGCCCGAGCGGACGCCACACTCACGGCTCGGCCCGGGGCTGGCGCGGACAATGCTGCCGGTACCGGCGGCGGCGCTCACGCGGCGGCCGGGCCTGGCACATGCCCAGCGGCGGCGGCGGCCCCGGCGCTGCCCGCTCCCGCGGCGCTGCGCATGGCGGGGAGAGGAGAACGAGGAAGGAGCGGAAAGGGGAAGGGGGGGAGGGAACGACACCGGAGCCGGTGCCGGGCCCGGTGCGGGGGTCGGCGGCCACCGGGGTCTGTCGCGGCCCTTCCCGCGGCGCGCTACGTCACCAGGAGCCAGCCCGACATCCCGGTGCAGGCCCCGCCCCTGCCGCGCACGCGCCCCCTCACGGCGAAGGCCACGCCCCCTAACCGCTCCTCGTGTGCGCGCACGTCACGCACGTCACGCACGTACGCGCAGCGCCGCCGCCATCGCCGCGCGGAGCCACCGGTAACCGGAGGCCACGCCCACCCACCTCGGGATTGGCTGGAGGCGGGGGAGGGGGTGGGGGCAGCGGGGCGCCATCGCCCCCTGGCGGTCCGGAGGAATGGGGGGGGGGGGTGTCAGAGGGGTTCCGGCATCCCGGCAGCTGGGGATGGGCGGGGGGGATGTGGAGGGAATGGGGACGGGGGACGGGGGAGAGTGAGTGAGGGACCGGGAATGGGGAAGTGAGGAATGGGAATGGGGGAGTGAGGAATGGGAATGGGGAAGTGAGGAATGGGAATGGGGAAGTGAGGAATGGGAATGGGAAACTGAGGCACGGGAATGGGGAAGTGAGGCACCGGGAATGGGGAAGTGAGGAATGGGAATGGGGGAGTGAGGAATGGGAATGGGGGAGTGAGGAATGGGAATAGGGAAGTGAGGAATGGGAATGGGGAAGTGAGGAATGGGAATGGGAAACTGAGGCACGGGAATGGGGAAGTGAGGCACCGGGAATGGGGAAGTGAGGAATGGGAATGGGGGAGTGAGGAATGGGAATAGGGAAGTGAGGAATGGGAATGGGGGAGTGAGGAATGGGAATGGGGGAAGTGAGGAATGGGAATGGGAAACTGAGGCACGGGAATGGGGAAGTGAGGCACCGGGAATGGGGAAGTGAGGAATGGGAATGGGGAAGTGAGGAATGGGAATGGGGGAAGTGAGGAATGGGAATGGGCATGGGGGAAGTGAGGAATGGGAATGGGGGAAGTGAGGAATGGGAATGGGGAAGTGAGGAATGGGAATGGGGGAAGTGAGGAATGGGAATGGGCATGGGGGAAGTGAGGAATGGGAATGGGGGAAGTGAGGAATGGGAATGAGGGAAGTGAGGCATTGGAATGGGAAACTGAGGCACGGGAATGGGGAAGTGAGGAATGGGAATGGGGAAGTGAGGCACGGGAATGGGAAACTGAGGCACGGGAATGGGGGAAGTGAGGCACCGGGAATGGGAAACTGAGGCACGGGGGCATCAGCAAGTGCAGCACAAGCCATGGAGACCGAGTCAGGCCGGGCTCATGGATGTGTATAAAACCCTAAGGAGAACAGTGCAGGGGAGACAGGGAACAGCATCCATGGTGGGATTCCATGGCGAGCTCCATGGGGGTCCCATGGTGGTGATCCACAGCTGGTTCCATGTGGGTCCCATGGTGAGTCCATGATGGGATCCACGGTGGGTCCCATGGTGCTGCTCCATGGTGGATCCCATACTGGGTCCATGATGGGCTCCACGGTGGGTCCATGCTCAGAGCAGGGTGATCTCACTGGGCGGCAGCGTCAGCCTCTTCTCCCGTGCTCCCAACAACCTCTCCATGTGCGCAGCCACCACTCGGCACAGCTCCAGGCCCTGCCGGAGGGGTCCACAACCATTGGTGACCCCACTGCCACCATGGGACCCCCACCACGGATGCTCCCCGAGCATCCCCAACCTGCTCCAGCTGCAGCTGGGTGATGCCCTGCGCCAGGAGGTCGCCCAGGGTGATCTCCACGTAGGGGTAGCTGGACCCGGCCGTGGGGCGCTGTGTCCGTGTGGATTGGATCTCCTTCAGTGAGAACTTGGCGATGGGCTCCTGAAGAAGGGGACAAGGGGGTGGGCCGTGTGCCCCAAAAGGACCGAGGACCGGAGGATGCTGGTGATGCAGCCCCGGGCGCGCTGATGGAGCTAAACCCGGACCCTGCTTTGGAGAGGGATATCACCGCCTCCCAGCCTCCCGTCCCGTGGTGCCACAGGCTCTGTCCCTGCTGAGATGGGGACAGGAGCAGGGGGGGTCCCCCCACCCCAAGCCCCCCACCTACGTGGGTCTCCTTGCTGAGGAAGTTGAGGCCGTTCTGGTTGACGGCCAGGATGCAGGGGGAGACGATGGCGTTGTTGCTGCAGCTCTGGATGTAGAAGAAGGACGAGCCGAACATGGGGTAGGCACTCAGCAGCCCTGCGGGGTGGAGGACGGGGTCTCAGTGCCCATCACCACCCCATCCTGCCTGGCTGTGCTGAGGGACCAAAACAACCCCATGCATGGTAGGAGCTGGGTGGGCTCCCAGAGCCTGGCGCTGAACCAGAACCAGGCTTGGACCCAGGAGCAATCAAGGGGCCCTGTTGCAGCCTGATGGGAAAGTGGGTGGCCAAGCAGCCTGCTCTGTCCTGCTGCTGTGGTCCTGCCCTCCATGTGCAGCATCCCACTGGCCATGCAGCACCCCTGCCTCCATGCAGGGCCCATCCCAGGCTCCCCAGCCAGAGTATGACATCCCAGAGGCATCTCATCTTCATCAGCATCACCTCCTGGGCATCCCCATCATCATCATGCCATCACATCCTCAGCAGCACCACAACCCCTGCAGCCTTGCGTCCCCAGCAGGACTGCATCTCCAGCAGCACTGCATCCTCATTAGCATCACATCCCCACTAGCATCACCTCCCTGGCTCCATCCCGCTCCTGCTCACCCAGGAACTGCGCCCTGGCCTGGTGGGCGCTGAGCGCCTGCGCTTGCTGCATGTGCGGGGTCACCATATGGAGCCAGGACTGAGCCTTCAGCAGGCGGAAGAGCTGTGGTGGGACATAATCCTGCACCTCCCGCCTGAGGGGAGCCGGGGGTCAGGCTGGGGGGGGGTCCCGCACCGCATGGGATGCACCCCACAACCCGGACCCTCCATTCCCAGCCATACGCGGTGGGGAGGTGATGGTGGTCCTTGGCTCGGTGCTGGAGGGCGGCCAGCTTGGCCACGTGTGGGAAGTGCTGCTCTCCCGGCCTGGCGGGTGGCAGGACAGTGAACAGCCCCTTGAGGTAGTCAGGGAGGACCTGGAGGGGACAGAGAACAGGGGCACGGCTTGGGGATGGAGCACACTCCATGGTGGGGGGACAGGGACGTGGCCCCGGTGGGGGGGCCTGACCTGGTTGTAGTGCACGGTGACATAGAGCTCGTTGTCAAACTTGAGGGGCTGCCCCCAGACCACGCGGCGGCACCAGAAGGTGTAGCTCGTGTCCCGGCGCTCCGTCTCGGCGGCCACATCCAGCACGTATTCCCGGCGGGTCAGCGGCCGCACGCTCTGCCCTGCACCCGCCACCCCGGGAGATGAGCACCGTGCACAGCATCCTCCATGCACAGCATCCTCCATGCACAGCATCTTCCATGCACAGCTTCCACCATGCACAGTACCTGCCATGCACAGCATCCACCATGCACAGTACCCACCATGCACGGTATCCACCATGTACAGCACCCACCATGCACAGCACCCACCATGCACAGCATCCTCCATGCACAGCATCCTTCATGCACACCATCCTCCATGCACAACATCCTTCATGCACAGCATCCTCCATGCACAACATCCACCATGCACAACATCCTCCATGCACAGCATCCTCCATGCACAGCATCCTTCATGCACAGCGTCCTCCATGTACAGTGTCCTTCATGCACAGCATCCACCATGCACAGCATCCTCCATGCACGGCATCCTCCATGTACAGTGTCCTTCATGCACAGAATCCACCATGCACGGTACCCACCATGCACAGCACCCACCATGCACAGCATCCTCCATGCACAGCGTCCTCCATGCACAGCGTCCTCCATGCACAGCATCCACCATGCCTGGTACCCTTCATGCATAGCATCCACCATGCACAGCATCCTCTCATGCGCAGCATTCTCCATGCATCATACCCACCCTATGTGACATCCACCATGCACGGCCCCCACTATGCACGTTATCCACCCTACACGGTACCCATCATGTGTGGTACCCACCACGCACAGCCATCCTGTCCCCAGCAGCCCCTCACCTCTGTCGGTCACCACGAAGAGGATGTACTCCTCAAAAGCCTCTGGGTGCTGCAGCCCCATCTCACAGCACAGCTCCTCGATCACATCCAGAGCCACCTGCGTATGGGGACAAGGAGGCTGGAATGCTGCCATGTCCCCCTGCCACAGTCAGCAGCTCCCGCATTGAAGCTCATCCCATGCCGCTTCCCAAGGAAGAGGAGAACAAAGTCCCCCAGCTCATGGACAGCCAAGAGGTGAAGCCCTCTCCATATCTACACCCCCAAGACACCCACAAATGGGGGGGTCCCTTCGTATCTGGGGTACACAGAGCCTCTTGCCTGCTCTAACTCACCGAGCACGTCTTGATCTTGAGGTGCCTCTCAATGCCACCAGGCAGGAGAAAGAGCTGGCGCTTGGCGCTGCGTCCAGCCTGCATGGGGGGGACACATTGGGGTGCAGGAGGGGGGACACCTTTGCAAAGCAAGACCCTAAAGGACACCCTGAATCCCCAAACTATCCCAGGGGACCATCCCGTGGGGATCATCCTGTATCTCGCCCGTCTTTCCTGGGTGAGGCATTGTGCCCTTCACCCCACACGCGCAGAGCTGCATCCCTACTGGGATGCTCAAGGTACCCCCAAAGAGAGACCAGAAAGGACTATGCTCCCCACACCAGCAAGGGGCCATCAGCTCCAGGACAGTGCCTGGCGGGGGGGGGATCCCAAGCCATTGGGAGGACCAGGAACCTCTGCGGGTGATCTCAAGCTGGCATCATCCCTGCCCTGCACCCCATATGCACCCATCCTCACCACCATGGCCCTCAGCTCTGTGCTGCTGGGGAAGAGGCTGCGGCCACCGAACTGCAGGGTCTTCCGCAGGTTCAGCTCGCAGGCTTTGGCGATGCCTGGCAGGGACAGGGACCGGGATGAGGAGGGATGGAGCTGAGCCCCGTGCAGCCCGCACCCTGCAGCGTGCACAGCCCCCTACCATGGAACGGCAGGTCCGGGTGCCTGCTAGCATCCTGCAGGAAGGCCAGCAGGAAGGGCCTGAGCACCTCGGAGCACTTGTAGTAAGCAGCGAGGATGTAGAGCAGCCTCCAGCCCTTCTGGCAGCTATCCCTGTGGGAAGGGTAAGGATGCCCATGGAGGCACTGCAAGCTTGGGGTCCCCGCATGTCCGCAGACAAGTGTCCCCAGTGCCAGGCTGTGCTGTCCCAGTAGGGATGGTGGATGGCACGGGAGCAGGGATGATGGATGGCCTGGGAGCAGGGACTCACGGCTTGGAGCTGCTGTTGTTGGTGATCTGCTTCACGACCTGGCAGTAGACCTCATCCCGCAGGACCTCGTGCTCTGCACAGAGCTGGGGGACAGGCACAGCTGCCACAGGGTGCTCAAGGCACCCCCAGCACCCAGCACCCCACACAGGGGCTTTACCTTGAGGATGGTGCAGACGCAGTCCAGCTCCGTCTGCCCTCGCGGGGGGTGGTCGCCCATGAACTTCATCACGGCTGGGGACAGAGCCACGCACTGGTACTGCTCATCCCATCCCTTCCCCAGGGATGTGGTCCCCTGGGTGCGGGCAACATCCTGGACCCCTCCAGGCCCCCCCCATCCTGGTCCTGCTCCCACCCTTCTCCAAGGACAAGGATGGCCATGGGGCAAGGGGCTGGTGCCACTTGCCTACCTTGGAACGCCTCCGTGGCCAGTTTGCTGATGCCACCATCCACGAATTCAATGAGTGACTCCTGGATGGGGGTCTAAAGAGGGAGAGCATCAGCAATGGGGAGCAACCAGAGGGATGGGGTGCGCATCGGGGTGTCATTCACAGAGCCCCCGAGCCCACCGGGGTGACCTGCAGGTGACAGCAAGGCAGGGACACCCCGCTTCCCCTCACCTTGCTGAATGTCAGCATCTCCAGCACATTGGGCACATCCCTTTTGGCCTTCATCCCGCAGGGTTCCCTGGGAGACGGATGAAGGAGCGGATGGGCACGGGTGCCTCGGGTTCAGGGCATCCCCATCGCACCACTGGGCACTCACGTTGCCTCCCCATGCCGTGCCGCACGGAAATACTGCCTGGCAAAAGCCAGCATGGGGCAGGTCCCTGCGCTGTCACCAAGCTTCTCGCTGCTGTCCCCCTCTGCTGTGCTGGCTGGGGATGCCTGTGGAGCAGAGCAATGGGTACCAGGCGCATCCAGCCCCGGGCATCCACAGCCCCGCGCCAGCACCCACCTCGCTCTTGCGGTCCAGCTCCTGTGCCACGGCGGTGGAGGCCACGGCCATAGCCACGGCTGCTGAAGCCACCACCTTGCCCTGCTTGTCCCTGGGCTCCTCTTTCCTCTCCGCTGGCAAATGGACAAAGTCCGGGGCTGCGACGGGCTGGACGTATTCAGCAGGGAAGAGACCCGACCTGCCATGGATGGCACCGAACTTCCACCCTGCAGTGGGCAGATGTGCGGATGGATCCAGGCTGGCAGCTCCAGAAAGCCCCTGTCTGTTCCCTCCTGCCCCTTTGCACCCCAAGGCCTTTCCGAGGGGTCTGGTTGTAGGATTTGGGTGGAAAAACTGATGTTGCTCAGTGTAAAGGAATGGAGAAGGGGCCACAAAGCCCAGTTCTAGCTGGGATGTGGGGCAGCGTGGGAACCGCAGCGGAGCATCTCCCTGCATCAGGTTGGTACCAAAAAGAGCCTGACCCATCCTGCTCAGGGGTGGCAGAGGCAGGATCCTGCCCCATACCCCAGCCCCAGGGCAGTGTATGCACACCAGGGACACGCATGGGGACAGCACAGCACCCACCAAAGTCCTGGGTGCCCATCTTCAGCTCCTCCAGGTACATCACCTTCTTGCGGACCACGCAGCCGTAGTAGTGGTCTGTGGGGACACCCGCGGGGTGTCATCAAGGCATATCCACATCCATCCAGGATCCAGAAGCCATCAGTCCTGCCACCCCTGTGCCCCACATTGAGGGTGTTTTGGCACAGGGTGTGGGGGGACCGCTCACCTCTCTCGGGATGCTTCAGTGGCTGCAGGTGGATGATGTCCCCTTTGTGGAAGCTGAGCTGGCCCTTGTCCTCTGGGCTGTAGCTCCTCACAGCCACCACGTACTGGGAGTCCTGGGCAAAGGGGGGGGGCTGGCACAGCCCGTGCACGCAGGCACACGCATGCACACACATGTACACACGTGTACATCCCATCCCACCCAGCACCCACAGCCCCACCGCGGGGTACCCACCATCACCCCAGGCATGATCCCATTTGCAGGGCATAGCCCAACACACCACCCCCCCCCCCCCCCCACCTTCCTGAGCTCCTTGATGAAGTGGTCAACCATGGCCTTGACCTGGGGGGCTTTGGGGGAGAACAGGATGAGCTTCTCGCTGCGCAGGTTGAGCTCCAGCATGTTCCTGGACGGGGTGGTCACAAACAGCACATCGGCATAGCTGGGGAGGATGAGGGGATGCTGAAACACCCGGCACCCACAGCACCCATCGCACCCGGACCACGGGGGTCCCCGCTCTTACCCGTACGCCCTCAGCACCCTCAGCTGCTCCCCGGGCACGTTGGTGCCCTTCACCATCCGCAGCAGCTTGACGCCAGTGTGGGACACAGCCAGGATCTGCACACCCGTCCCCACGCTGCCCTGTGGGGTGGGACCCTGCCTCAGCGGGGGGGGCACGGGGATGGGGTGCACCCACCACTGACCTGCCCCATGGCTGCACCCTCACCGTGGCGGGGAAGAGGCGAGAGAAATACACATCGCAGCCATCGCGGGCGGCAGCGATGATCTCCCTCTTGACGCTCTCAGTGGCCACGGGGCTGAAGGAATCCAGTTTGTTTTCCGCTGTGGGGAGAAATAGCCACTGGTATTTATCATATACTATATATATACTACAGTCTCATACTATATATATATATAGTATACACCCCAGCATATATATATATAGTATATATATGTGTGTGTGTGTATATATATATATACACCCATGGGAGGATTCAGACACAGGTTCACAGCAAGAGTGGGGATGCTCATCCTCTTCGAAGCCTGGCAGGACCATGATATCCCCCCTGCTGCCTCACTATCCTAATGCAGCAAACCTGGCTGAGACCTGACACAACTCGTGGCTTTGTGGAGCACTAAATCCTAGAATCAGGGAATGGTTTGGGTTGGAAGGGACCTTAAAGCTCATCCAGTTCCAAGCAGGGACACCTTCCACTAGAGCAGCTTGCTCCAAGCCCCCGTGTCCAACCTGGCCTTGAGCACTGCCAGGGATGGGGCAGCCACAGCTTCTCTGGGCACCCTGTGCCAGCGCCTCAGCACCCTCATAGTAAAGAGCTTCTTCCTTATATCCAACAGGAACCTCCCCTGTTTCAATTTGAACCCGTTACCCCTTGTCCTATCACGACAGTCCCTGATGAAGGGTCCCTCTCCAGCATCCCTGTATCACAGGGGTTCACTGTATTTGGAAGCAAAACTACCCCAGCTTTAATGGCTTGGAGGTGCCCAGGAGATGAGGATGGATGGGTGTGAGCCCCCCAGGTTTGGGCCCCCATAAGTGTTCCCCCCCTTCCCAGCCTGGGAGCAGCAGGACACAGGTTACCGAAGAGGGATTTGAGTCGGAGCCTCTCCTCCTGGCTGAGTCGGATGCAGGTGTTGGAGAGCACATCATTGAAGATCTGGGGAGGGGGTGAGGAGCAGTGGGGCTCCGTGCACCCCCAGCCCCATTGCTCTGCCTGCTCCCCTGCCTTGGGGTAACCAACAGGGACCTCCTGCTCCTCCGTGGCCGCTCGGCATGGGGATGGATGCAGTGGGATGGGTGAACCATCACCCCAGTGATATGAGGGGATACCCCAGCTCCCAGGGGACCTCACCTGCCTGAAGATGAGGTCGAGCAGCAATGGGTTGTTGATGCTGTCCTTGGGGTAGAAAACCTGCCAGGAGGGAGACCAGCATCACCATCAGTGCCCCGAACTTAGCAACAAAACCCCTTTATCCCCATAGCACTTCCACACCACCCTGTCCCCATCCCTGTCCCCACCACGCACCTCCTTCCGGATGTATATTTTCCAGGGCACGTTGTGGTAGGTGTAGAAGTCCTCGCTGCAGCTCCGGTGCAGCTGGGTCTGGACCTGCTGCGCCTCGGATGGGAGCTCCCGAGACACAGAGACTGGAAAGGGATGGGAAGTCCTGCACATCCCTGAGGGAACCACCAAGAGCCCCTCTTCACAAGGGGAAATGGGGACCAGGGAGGGTTTAGCTTGACACAGAGGTTATCCCATGAGGATGCTGTAGAGCTGGATCCCCCCCGCCAAGCGCCACTGCCCTGCAGTACCTTGGGACCGGGTGGCCACCGCACGCCCCGTTGGTGGTCGCAGTGGGTACCTGCTGCTGGTGACCGGCTTCACCGTGGCCACCACCTCCTTGGGCCCCTGAGAGGCAGATTCACTGCGGCTGGTGATGGTGACACACACCCACCCCCCCCCCAGCCTGATGTGGGGCACACAGGGTGGCTGCATCCCTACCGCAGCCACTGGAGCTGGGGGTGCTGAGAGCTGCTCCTTCAGGATCTGCATGGCTTCCTCGTGGGGGTCCTGCTTCTTCCCAAAGAGCTTGCTGTGGAGACAGCACTTCACAGTGCCTGCACCCCAGCATCACTTGCATCCCAGCATCACCTGCATCCCAGCATCACCTGCATCCCAGCATCACCGGCACCCCAGCATCACCTGCACCCCAGTATCACCTGCATCCCAGCATCACCGGCACCCCAGCATCAGCTTCATACCAGCATCACCGGCACCCCAGCATCACCTGCACCCCAGGATCACCTGTATCCTAGCATCACCTGCACCCAAGCATCACCTGTACCCAAGCATCACCTGCACCCCAGCATCACCTGTATCCCAGCATCACCTGTATCCCAGCATCACCTGTATCCCAGCATGCCTGTACCCCAGCATCACCTGCACCCCAGCATCACCTGTACCTGGCACCATCTGCACCCTGGTATTAGCTGCATCCTGGATGCATTCTGGCACCACCTGTATTCCCAACATCACCTGTATCCCAGCATTGCCTGCAACCTGGCATTGCCTGTACCCCGGCATCATCCGCACCCCAGCATTAGCTGCATCCAGGCATCATCTCTATCTGGCATCACCCGCACCTCCAGGATCACCTGTACACCAACATCACATGCACCCTGATATTGGGTGCATCCTGGCATCACCCAAACCTTGGGATTAGCTGCATCCTGGTGTCACCTGCACCCCTAGCATCATCTGCACCCCAGCATCACCTGTACCCCAGCATCACCTGTATCCAGGCATCACCTCTACCTGGCATCACCTGCATCCCCAGCATTGCCTGCATCCCAGCACATGCACCCACATGCAGGAGGGGCCGGTGTCTCTCTGGGGCGCAGGGGTACCTGTGGGGCTGGGATCCCCGCGGGGCCGGCTGGCACTGCCGGATGATGTTCCGGATGTCGTGTGTGGGCCGCGGGAAGTGCTCCGAGTTGAGCCGGGAATTCCGCACCAGCTCTCCCGGCCACCGCCGGCCCACAGGGGCTGTGGGGCCAAGTGCATGGCTCAGGGGCTCACTGCTGGGGCTGACACGAGCCCCCACTGACACCACATTGCACTGGGACCCCTTACCTGCTTTCTGCATGTAGGGCCGGGGCTGGGGGTCGCGGGATGGTGTCCCCTCAGCTGCTCTGCCCTGCGAGGGACACCCCACTGTGAGCATCCAGACACACACACACACACCCCCCTGCCCCCAGCCCCACAGAGCTGCCCAGGAGAGCTGTGGGGCAGGGCACTATCCCTCCCAGACCCCCATCTCAGCCCCACTGACCGGTGGCTGGTTGGCACCTGCCCGGTGCTGTGAGGATGGGGCTGGCTCCGTGCCTGTGATGCCAAAAGGGCAGAGCTCAGACAGGATGTCCTGCCCCCCCAAACCGCGGCTATGGGGTGCAGGGATGACCCCACAGCAGGGATCAGGAGGGGAAACCGAGGCAGGGAGCTGGCTGAGGGTGCTCACCTCTTGGCTGCTGTGTCTCTGGAGGCACTGGGGATTTGCTGTGCTCCGCATCACCATCCCCTCCTCCTGCACCACCTCTTCCCTTCATCCTCTGTGTGACAGCAGCCGGCTTCTCAAGCTCCTGGGGGACAATGGGATGGATGATGGATGGATGGATGGATGGACGGACGGACGGACGGATGGATGGATGGATGGATGGATGATGGATGGATGGATGGATGGATGGATGGATGGATGATGGATGGATGGATGGATGGATGGATGGATGGGATGGATGATGGATGGATGGATGGATGGATGGATGGGTGGATGGGTGGAAGTCAAGCCAACTGCACCCCCAAAATGCTAGACTCCCTCTCACCCCATTCCCATAGGAGAGCACAGGGTCGAAGAGGCTGTCCAGGTACCGGTCCAGACCCTTCTGGCTGCGCGGCTCCCCAAATTCCCCATCTCCTGGGGGACAAGGAGGGATGAGCTGTCAGCAGCAGGGCTTCACCAGCATGGTCCCACCATGGGTCGGAGGGTGATGCCCTACCGTGGGGGTGGTACACCTCTGTGGATGGCAGCGTTGGGGCTTTCACAGCTGGAGGAGGGGGTACTTCATCCAAATCCAAGCCATGCCCCAACACCCTGCAGAGGGAGAGGATGCGCTCATTGTGCACCCACTGGGTACCGGATCACCACCAGGACCCCATCCCATGCCTCTGCCGGCACCCATCCAGCGGGGCACCCATCCCTGCCCGGGTACCTACGCCCGGCTGTCCCCGCCGTGGCTCTCAGCTCCATCCCATGCCACCAGGAAGCAGGACTTCTGCTTGGGGAAGCCACGGAGCAGCTCGAGGTCAGAGATGAGGTCCAGGACATAGTCATGACCAGCCAGCTCGGCCCATTGGGCACCCGCCTTCATGGCCACGGACCAGCCCCGCCAGCCCTCCACCAGCCCCCTGCCAACAGCGGGGTGGGGATGGGAGTCCAGCAGTGCCCCGGCTCCGTGGGGACACCCTGGACATCCCAAGTGCAAGAGCCTGGGGTCACCCAAAGTGATGCTGAGCCCCATGGAACGGGTGGGTACCGAGCTGGTGGGTACCTGTGCTTCAGGACATCCCCTGCCAGGTCCTCGCCTGTGGCCCAGGAGTGGACAGGGCAGGAGAACTGGTCACCTGGGGAGGGATGGGATGGGATGGGATGGGAGCAGGACCCACCAGTGCCCCCCTGCCCCAAGCTGGGTCTGACCCTCCCCGCCGCATGCCCCAGCCCCACGCCACCCGCACCATTGAAGCAGTGCAGGTCCAGCGCCATGCTGGCTTGCTGCCGGTTCGCTGTCCACTCCAGCAGTGATGGGGGGTAGGCTCGGGCGGCCGCGGCACCCAGCTGGGACCGGGCCATGGCATGCATCAGCTTGCGCTGGCACACCGGCTTGTAGCCAGCGAAGGCGTAGTCAGAGACGAACCTGGGGGCAAGGGAGGATGCTGCAGGAGGAGGAGGGATGTGGGCAGCATCCATAGGCACATGGGGCAAGCTGGCCCCAGGGACCACAGAGGGACTAAGAGCACCCCCAGAGGGATCTTGGTAGCATCCTGGGCATATATTCCAAGCTGGCCCCCAGGGACCATGGAGGGACCTCAGAGCATCCCCAACGGGACCTGCATGGCATCCCTGGGCACATGCGTTAGGCTGGCCCCAAGGGACCACAAAGGGACCAAGAACATCCCTGGAGGGATCTCAGCAGCATCCTTGGGCATATACTCCAAGGTGGCCAGAGGGATCCTGGAGGGACCTCAGCATGATCCCTGGCCACATGCGCCAGACTGGCCCCAGAGATCATGGAGTGACTTCAGAGCATCCCCAGTGGGACCTGGGCAGCATCCTCAGGCACATGTGTCAGGCTGGCCCCAGAGGACCACAGGACAGACTAAGAGCATTCCTGGAGGGATCTTGGCAGCATAATGTGTGCTAGACCAGCCAGAGGGATCCTAGAGGGACCTGAGCATCGTCACTGGCCACATGTGCCAGGCTGGCCCTAGGGGACCACAGAGGGACTAAGAGCATCCCTGGAGACATCTCAGCAGCATCCTTGGCACATGTGCCAAGTTGGCCTCGAAGACCACGGGTGGACCTCAGAGCATCCCCAGCTTGACCCGGGCAGCATCCTCAGCCACGTGTACAGGGCTATCCCAGGGAACCCCAGCAGCATCCCCAAGGATCCCAGCCAGCCCCAGCACCCACCCCGCTCCCCATCCCCGTATCTCACTTGAGCAGGTACTTGTCGAAGGCGGTGGAGGGGGGGAAGGCGCTGAGGCAGGCGGCCAGCAGCAGCCAGCCCCGTTCCTCGTTGTTGACGTTGGTGTTGCGCCAGACCTGGTTGGCCGCTTGTGCCAGGAGCTCGTCCCGCAGCCCCGGCGCCGACAGCCCCTTCTGCACGATGTAGTTGCCAAAGAGGGTCTCCTGCGAGCCTCCCAGCGCCGGGTCCCCCATGAACCGCAGGATCTGAGTGGGGACAGCGAGGTCCTTCCCTCCACCGCCGGGCAGGGAGCAGGCAGGGGGCCACGGTGACGGACCCTGTGCCATGCCACCTACCAGCTGGAACAGGCTCAGCGCCTCGTGGCACAGCTCCTCATCCAGCCGGGTGAGAGGAGCCATCAGTGGGGCTGTCAGCATCCCGAACGCTGGTTCCTGCGGTGACACCCGCACCCATGGCTACCCCAGCCCTGGGGACAGGCTCAGGCTATGAGGGACCAGCCCCATGGTGCTGAGCATGGGGTTGATGCTGGAGGGGGACTAAGGGGCTGCAAAAGGGCTGGGGTGCAGGATGGGGCCGGCAGCCTCCCAGCACTGGTTTGGGATGGGCTCAGTGGCACCAGGGATGCTGGCACCTTGGTGAGGCTGGGAGCAGGATGCGGCCCCGGCGCTGTCATTTGGGATGCTGGGGACCGGGAAACACACGGCAAAAATAGGAGGCGAGGAGGAGGGAGGAAAAGAGACCAGGGATGGGGCTGGGATCCCGGGAACAAATCGACCTGGTCTCCCGCCCCAGCGTTTCCGGATCTGCCCCGCGTCGGGCGTCCAGGAGGGCTCGGCGGGTGTCTCTGCATAGCCTCAGCGGGGTCCCCCCGGCCTCTGGAGACGACAGGAACCCACGGGGAGGGAGGGAGGCGGCAGCCGGGTCCGGCCCCTCTCGCACCCCGCAGCATCCCCGGGGCCGAAGCCGGGGCAGAGCCCGGTGGGGGCAGAGGGAGGAGGCTCCGGACTCCCCCTCCTCTGGGGACCCTGGACCTGAGCGCTCACGACCGAGGAGTCCCCAAACCATCGGGGCAGGTTCCCGGCCGCCGGCGCCCACCTTACCTGGAAGTGGCCCCGCACGTACTTGGCCATGGGGTACTCGTTGATGTCGAGCGGGAGCGTGAGCTGCGAGTCGGGCTGCAGCGCCGGCGGCGGCACCAGCACCACGCAGCCGGCGTTCACCTCCCGGGCGGCTGCGGCACAGCGGGCAGATGCGGCACCGCCATAGGGATGCACGGTGGTGGGGGGGATAAGGGGGCTGGGAGCGGTGCCGGCCGCCCCACAGGACGCGCTCACCTGCGGCCGCCTCCAGCAGCCCCATCAGTTCGGCCGGGATCTCCAGGTGGGTGACGTCCACCACCTCCCTCCTGGTCAGCTCCTGCAGGCACAGGGCAGGGATGCAGCAGCCCAGCACCCATGGGTGCCTCCGCATGGGGATGGGCGAGCACATGGTAGGGATGAGAGCAGCACGGGTTGCATAGCGTGCTTCCCGCAGTGCTGCACAGCCGTTACCTGCTTCATCCTTTCCTTCTCCGCCTCTGCCCGCCGGCGGGCATCCTCCTTCTTCTGCAAGCAGAGCACCCACACTGAGCCCATGCCATGAGGGAGGCCAAGAGGCAGCCTTTTATCCCCTGGCATCACCAGGCTTCCATGCCAAAGAGCACCATGGCGCATGGAGGAGATGATGGGGATGGGGTCTGTGGATGCCTCCCCAGACCCACCACCGAGCACGCGGCAGGGAGGAAACGGGTGCCCAGGACCCCTCTCACGGATGTGCCATCCCCACCCTCACCTTGAGGTACCGCCGGCGGTTCACATAGATGTGCACCAGCGACCTGAACTTGATGAGCGTGCGCCGCATGCGCCGGTACCGCTGCCTGCCATGGGGAGAGCACCCATCACCCTCCGCCACCCACCAGAGCCCACCCACCACCTCCAGGCACCCCAACCTGGCCAGGTATCCCCTCGCCCGGCTCTGCAGGAGGACGATCTTCCTGCGGAGGGAGCGGAAGCGCCTCTTGATGAAGAAGGTGCGAGCGTAACGCTGGAGCGTGAGCGCGGCCAAGTGATGGGCACGAGCGCGCTTGCTCTCCAGGGCCTGGTACAGCTGCTCCTTCAGGAAGAGCTGGGAAAAGGGGCGATGCTGTGAGCCCCACACCTCGCCTGCCATCCCCAAGGGCATCACCGGAGCTAAACCCCCTGCCCTGGGACAAGCACCTTGCTGACACCGACGTAGTACATGCTGGGGCTGACGGGGCAGAGGCTCCTCAGCATCTCCACGCAGTTGGCGCCGTTGGGAATGACGTTGGACCACATGTCAACGAGGCAGCGGTACCTGGACAAGCAGTGTGACACCGTCACCACACCGGATCCCACCACCAGTGTGGACCCTTCCGGCGTGATGGTCACCATGGCTACAAGGATGCTCGAGAGGGGCTCTTCGTCAGGGATTGCAGCGATAGGACAAGGGGGAATGGGTTTAAACTGAAACAGGGGGAGATCAGATTAGATCCAAGGAAGAAACTCTTTACTGTGAGAGTGATGAGGCACTGGAATGGGTTGCCCAAAGAAGTGGTGAATGCTCCATCCCTGGCAGCGTTCAAGGCCGGGTTGGACACAGGGGCTTGGAGCAACCTGCTCTAGTGGGAGGTGTCCCTGCCCATGGCAAGGGTTGGAGCTGGAGGAGCTTTAAGGTCCCCTCAACCCAAACCATTCTATTCTTTTTTGATTCTATGCCTAGAAAGCTTCTCCTGCTGCTGTGGACCAAAGCAGAGGGGCTCCCAGCTGCTACCAAAGGGTCCCTCCAAACACCCACAAATTCTGTGCTCTACCCTCACCAGGATGCTGGTACCCAGCCCACAGCCTCCAGGCACCTGTCGATGAAGACGAGGAAAGGGATGCGGATGGGGAAGCCCTCCTTGCGGATGCGGATGGTCTCCAGGATCCCCGAGTACCGCAGCTGGCTGCTGACCACGTCAGCCTCAAAGAGCCCTGGCTCCTGGGGAGGAGATGGGGAGAAGCTTTAGTGGCCATTAGGGAAACCCTTGTGTGCCCACCACAGCATTGGCATCACCATGGGTCGGAGAGCCCCAAACAAGCTCTCACCTTCTTATTGTTGGGTTTGAGACAGCGCACGAAGAAGGGGTTGCACCTGCATTGAAGAGACCGCATTGGCCATGGGGAACAGGGGACAAAGCCAGCTTGGCCACCTCGGGCTTGGTCTGTGGTCACCCTGCTCCCACCATCCCGGTGCTCCTGCCTGTCCTGACCTCTCCATCTTTTCCACCAGCTCCAGGAGTGACTGCTGGAACCGGGCGGCCACAGTGGGAGCCTTGTACCGCCGGGTCCTGGTGCTGCTCCTCCTGTGGAGGCTCCTCTGCCGAGCCATCACCTGGGCATGGCCGAAGAAGAGGTTGGCCACCACCTTGGGAAGATGGGAAGGGTTAGGGAGGAGGAAGGTGGATGGATGGAGCAGCAATCCCGGCTCCTCTTCCCAGCCCAACCACTGCCTTCTTGTCCAGCCATATCCCTTATTCAGGGTTTGATTCCCTGCATAGGGATGGGGAAGCACAAGAGCAGCCCCTGTGTCCCCCTTTGTGCCAATGCTTGAGGGGTCAAAGCCCAGAGGACCCCCACGGGAAGAGGGCACAGGAGGCATCTTCTGCTTCTGGTCCCCCTCGGCTTCACCAGCCATGGGGGCACATGCTTGGGGACGTGAAGGGTGGTGTGTACGGAAGGGGGTCATCCATGCCTGCTGTGTCCCCAGGAGCAGGGGCTAGCAGGGCCCTACCTTGGTCCTGCTGCTGATGAACAGGTCCAGCACATCCTGACGGACCTGGTCATAGTTCTTATCCAAAAACTTGTGGACCTGGCAAAGAGCAAAAGCTCACAGGGGCAAGGAGATGCAGGCCAGGATGTGCCCCCATAGATGGACCCCCTGAGCTGCCCCAACCCCATAAACCTCCTCTTTAACCCTCCTTAGGACCATCCCACCAGTCCATACCTGGTAGGTCACCTTCCCTGCATAGTGCTTGATGGTGAACTCGGGCAGTGGCATCTTCGGCTTGGTGTACAGGGGGTTCGTCCCATGGTGGTAGTGACACTTCTGGAGGAACGTGTGGTCGGTGGCCTGGGGATGGATGCAGGGGTGAGACACGGATTGGGTCATGCAGCAGCCCTCGGGACGTAGGCATCAGGATGGGGATGCCAGCATCAGATTGGGAATGCCTGGACCAGATGTCAGCTCTGTCACTGGCCACGGGCATCTGCTCCTCTGTGCCTCAGTTTCCCCATCAGACACCCCACAACCTCATCTAGGGCAGGGTTCTCAGTAATCCCTGCAAAAGCAAGTCCTCTGGGGGAAGTTGCTCCAATGGCACCAACCTAGGACCTCTTGGGGCTTGTTTCCAGCCTGGAAACCCCCATGAACGGAGCATCCGTGGGGAATGGAAATTCCCAACCACAGTGACCACCCGGTGCTGCCATCCTGACCTGGGGGAAGCAGCTCTGGTCATCCAGGATGCGCAGGATTCCATAGGGCTTCTGGGAGATGAGGTCGATGCAGGGCTGGTTGTCACTGAATGGGATCTCCTTCCACTCAATCTGCTCCCGCAGGTACTCCTCCTATGGGGCCAGCACTCGGTCAGCCCCACGGTGATGCTGGGCATGGGGCAGAGCCCTGCACAGCTCACTGGGCCCAAACCTGCTCCTCCTGGAACACAATCTTGTTGAAGAAGAACTGCAGGTACTCGTTGGCGTAGTTGATGCAGAGCTGCTCAAAGCTGTTGAAGTTGAGATCCTGCAAGAAGGAAGCTCCATGGAGCCTGAGATCCTGCAGCACCGGGGCTGGTGGCTGGGTGGGATGGAGCTGGGACGGATCCCGCTCACCTCAAAGCCGTAGATGTCCAGGATGGCGATGGAGAGGGCCTCCTGCCGCGGGTACACCAGCTTGTTGATGCGGTCCGTGAGCCAGCCGAAGAGCAGGGAGTAGAGGGTCTTGGCAATGGCATCCCTGAATGGGGAAGATGAGCTGGAGCTCCAGCGTGGCACGGCACGGCATGGCATACACCACCACCACGGCTGCCAGCACTCATCATAGCCCAGAACATCCCCTAGGGCTGCAGTTTTACTCACCAAGAGCCTAATCCTCGCTGGGTGGCTTGGCCATCCCTTTCCCATCCCAACATTCCACCTCCTGCCCCATCCCTAGGGACCCTCCTTCCCCTTTACCTGGCATCCACGGCGCTTTCAACAGTCAGAGGGGTGAAAATCTTCTCCCGCAGCGTCTCCTGGTTGGGAAGCACAAACCCAAGGGTGCGATGGAGCTTCAGCATCACAAACCGTGGTCCCCAAGGACCCCATCCCCTGCCTGCGTCCCCCCTGCACTCACCGTCACCTTGAAGGTGATGGCTTTCTGCAGGCCCTCGGGGGACACCTGCAGCAGCTCAGCCACGGTCCTGATCTCCGTGGCGCTCACCACCATGGCCACCTCCTGGCAGTCGCTCTATGGGATGCAGTGAGGCGATGGGATGCTGCGATCCCCCCTCTGCCGCATCCCGAATCAAGGAGCGGGGCTCGGCTCTCCCTTTGGGTACCTCGTATTTGTCAAAGTAGACGTTGCCCAAGTGGAGGACGGAGGAGAGGATGCGGAAGATGCTGTTCTGCTCCTCCACGCTGAAGCTCAGCGCTTCCATGGTGTTGAGCAGGCGATGGAAATCCTCCTCATCGTTCTTCCCGGGAATCTCGCAGTTCCCACCCTGGAATTGCCCCATCCATGCCATCAATGGGTGCCATGGTGGGGGGGGCAGCACCTAGCACTGGAGGGGGACATCCTCCCCATCCACATGTTGAATCCAGGAAACCATCAGCACCCCAAAGCCTGGTCAGCCCCCCCCCCTCCCCAAAAGGAAGGTGCCATGGGGCTGTTTGGGGTCTCCCTACCTGGTTCAGGTAGTAGTATGTCTCGGCGCCCTGCAGGCAGTACCGCTGCCGCTGCTGCACGGGCAGCCCTGCCAGCATCTCATAGAAGATGTGGTAATTGCGCTCGCTCTTGGCCTGGGATGCAGAGGATCGGGGTGGGATGGGGTCCATGGGGAGCGCAGGGATGGGGGGCAGAGCCTCACACCCACCTGGAAGACCACACGGGACTTCTCCAGCAGGTACTGCGAGGTTATGGCACCGCAGATCAAACCACTATAGGGGTGAGAGCGGGCACCCGGCTGCAGCCTCAGCATGGGCAGGGGCTCTGTCCCCATCCCAGTGCCCATCCGGATGCTCCCTGTGGCACCAGGGGGTTGGTTCTGGTTCCCAGGTACCCCCAAAGGGGATGGGTGGGCAGAGTAAGGCTCCCTCCTTCCAGCTCCCAAGCTAGGGCTGGAGATGCTGCACCCCAGGGTGACATTGAGCAGGGGGATCAGTGGGAATGAGCGAGGATAGGAATGGGGGACATCATAGGGATGAAGAGTGGTCACAGTGCCAGCCCAGGGCACAGCATCCCTACCCTAAGGACAGCGAACACTGCCTGTCTTGGGGCAACATTACCTTATCCCTACCATTTATCCCCAGGAGCATCCCTGTGTGCATCCTATGCCAGCGCCAAGGGACTGCGGGGCTGGGGGCCTGGTTGGGCACCCCTAGGGACACACGGAGGGGACCCACCAGAGGCGGGATCTGCTCAGCACTCATCATTACTTACTCCTCCAGGAAGATCTCCACAAACTTCCCAAACCTGCTGGAATTATCGTTCCTCACGGTTTTGGCGTTGCCGAAGGACTCCAGCAAGGGGGTCGCCTCCAGGATCTGCGATGGGGAGAGATGGGGGTCAACCCAGGCACCCCAACAGCCCCACTCCAACACCCTTCAGCCCCATGCAGACACCCCAATTCAAGGTGTGCACTGAGACCAGGTTGCAAGAGGATGCAGGAGAGCACAAGAACCCCATGTATTCCCATGGACCACACTCCCACATCCATCCCAGCATCCATCCTGCACCCAGGGTGATGTGGCCACCACAATGCTCAATCCCCTTGAGCCATCCCAGCCCATGAGTCCCTTTCGGTACCTCTATCTGCCGTGGTCCAGGTGGAAGCAAAGGATAAGGAGGGAGAAGTAGAGCCATGAGCAGGGGATGGAGGAGAGGGCAAGGAGGGGGGACAAGGGGATGGGGACAGGGAGGTACCTGTGGGGCAGTGCTGCGCTTCTGGCTGACGGCTGCCAGGTACCGCAGGATCAGTTTGGTGGCTTCAGTCTTTCCTGAGCCACTCTCCCCACTGAAATACAGAGAAGGGGACATGGCCGGGGCCATCACCAACCAAAGAGGGGGTTAAAGGGGTCTGCAGACCCCAAACCCACCCAGCACCCCAATCCCCATAGGGGATGCTGCAAGGATGGGCTGGTGGCATGGTGGCAGCATCCTGCATCCAGCAATTAGGGCAGCAGTGATTAGGGAGAGCCATGCATGGGGATGGCCTTGTCCCACCTGATGACGATACACTGGTTGTGTTTGGCATCCATCACTTTGGAGTAGGCGACGTTCGCGATGGCAAAGAGGTGCCTGGAGTGGGGAGAAGCAGAACTGGGGGGGGGTCTGGTGCCACATTGCCCCAGTACAGGGACCCCAGTGCACCCTGAGCATCCCCATGCACAGACAGCACCCTGACACGAGGGTCCTTGAGGACCTGGGACCACTGGGGGCTGCTGTAGGACCAAGGGGAGGGTAATGATGGGTAGAAGTGCCCCAGGGTGTTTGGGACACCCCAATACTCACGGTGGGTTCTCGCCCAGGGCTCTGCCTTCATACTGCAGGACCTGCTCTGTGCCATAGATGTCATAGAGCCGGTACGGGTTCACCGACACCAGGATGCTGCCGATGTAGGTCTATAGAGAGCCAGGTTTGGGTGCTGACCCCCAAAACACCCCACACCCGGGGCCTCAGGGGATGCTGTGCACCCCTAAGCTTACATAGATGAGCTGGCGCTCAAACCGTGTCCGGATGTTGCTCAGCACCGCAGCCTCCTGGAGGTCCCTGCATGGAGCAGAGGCTGTGTTAGGGGATGGCAGGGGGGCAGGAGGTGTCCGCTGACCCCAAGCTTGTCCCCAGCATCCCCCGGAGGATGGAGCAGAACCTGTGTTGGGATGGGACAGGAGGGGGTGGGATAGGATGGGAGCAGAGGGGGCTTTAAGTGCATGGATGGGGGACAAGGGGCACTCACTCCAGCTGGGTCATGTCCTCCAGCCCGTCCTCCTCCTGTGGCTCCTGGTACCGCATGATGGGCAGACTGCACAGTGACTGCATCTGCATGGAACAACCCAGACCCATCACTACAGGGCTGTGCCAACCCCCTCCAATGTCCTATCTGGCCACCACCACCACCTCAAACCCACCATCTATGACCCCAAAAAGGGGACCCCACAGCCAGTGATGGCAAGGACCCCAAACAAGCATCTCACAGCCCCAAAACAGGTCCCCCAGCAAGAGTGCGGTGCTTTAGGGGATAGCAGCAGCACTGGAAATGGGGACATGAGGCCACCAAAGCATCCTTGGGGGACTGGTCCAGGCAGCACCTCCAGGGGAGATGATGGAAGGAGGCTGTGATGGGGGCCAAGCCGTGGGGCTGGGGGCTGCTCCCCATGCCTGTGCCCCACACAGAGGTGACACGGGGCGGGGGACACCAGGAGCCCACACTGGCTGCCATCCAGGGCAGGCAGGAAAGCAGACACCAGCCGGGTCAGAGCGCAGGGATCAGGTCTCAGCATTTCCATACGCGAGAATCAAGTGTCCCCGATGGGGCCGTGCGGGGGGGGACGACACACACACACACACACAATGGGCAATAACAACCCCCATACACCCTGCTCCCTATGGCAGGACCCCCACCAGCATCATTCACCTCCCACCCTGGGTGCTGCAACCCCCTTGGCTCTAATGACTTCACACACCATGGAGCCAGCAACCACAATACACCACCCATCCCGGTCCCTCCGACTGCCAGCTCATCCCGCAGCTCCATCCCATCACCAGCACCACGTTGTGCTCCCCACATCCCGGTCCCTGGTGCTACCGGCTCATCCCGCAGCTCCATCCCATCACCAGCACCACATTGTGCTCCCCCCATCCTGGTCCCTGGTGCTACCGGCTCATCCCACAGCTCCATCCCATCACCGGCACCACGTTGTGCTCCCCACATCCCGGTCCCTGGCGCTACCGCCTCATCCCATCACCGGCACCACGTTGTTCTCCCCCCATCCCGGTCCCTGGTGCTACCGGCTCATCCCGCAGCTCCATCCCATCACCGGCACCACGTTGTGCTCCCCACATCCCGGTCCCTGGTGCTACCGCCTCATCCCACGGCTCCATCCCATCACCGGCACCACGTTGTTCTCCCCCCATCCCGGTCCCTGGTGCTACCGGCTCATCCCGCAGCTCCATCCCATCACCGGCACCACGTTGTTCTCCCCCCATCCCGGTCCTTGGTGCTACCGGCTCATCCCTCAGCTCCATCCCATCACCGGCACCCCGTTGCGCTCCCGCCGGCGTTACCTTGCTGCGCCAGGGCTGCTTGCTGCCCAGGTACCCGTCCGCCCAGGGGTGCCGGTCCCTCCAGCCGCCCCCCGGCGAGCGCTGGCTCAGGTACCGGGCGATGTCGGCTCCTCGCTGGCTCGCCCACCGCCGGCCGCGCTGGGAGGGCAGCTGGGGGGGGCCCTGCTCTGCCGTCCAGGCGTCGGGCATCTCCCGCACCCGCACGACGTGCTGCGCGGACCAGTGCTGCTTGTACATGCGGGACGCCCGTCGGAAGGAGCCCAACCTCTGTACCTGCGGCGTCACCACCGCGTAGCGCCCCGCGCCCTCCTCCCCGGACAAAGCATCCCCCTCGACGGCCTCCGGGCCGCGGGGGCCATAGCGGGGGGTGGCCGGGGAGCCGGGGGCTCTGCCGCGGGGTGATGGGAAAGAGGCGTGACGCTGCGGTGAGGGGCTCCGGTCCCCGCGAGGCACGGACGGGACAATGGGGCGCCCGGTGTCGGTCCAACCCCGGCGCCCCGGGGGCGGGGGGCTCGGTGATCTACGGGTGCTCCCGTCCCGTCGGGATGAGCGCTGGGGAGAGGAGGGTGAGCGGGAGGAAGGGCGGCGGGCGGGTGGTGGGGATGAGGGGGTTGCAGAAGGGGCCATGCTCCTCACGAGCAGCGATGCCAGGGATTGCCCCATGGAGCGGATTGGGCTGCTCGCTTCGGCAGCGGACGGCCGGGCCGGGGGGGAGCGCGGGGCCATCCCGGCAAGGGGCTGCCCGATGCGCTGGATGAAGGTTTTGGGGGTACCAGGAGCGGGGCTGGGAGGCGGGGGCGCCCCAGCAGCAGCGCCCTGCCAGGGGGGCAGCTCCGCGTCCCAAGAGGGGCCGAGGCGGCGGCTGCCGGGCCGGGAGGTCGATGCCATGAAGGGGGATCTCTGCAGCGGCTTCACAGCCTTGGTGGGGGGCTCGGGGAGCCGGGGCCAGGCCTGGGGGAGCGGCAGCCCGGGGGGGCTGCTCTGCCTCAAGGACCGGGGTCTCCCCGACCCCGCCGCGGGCACCCCCAAACGCCTCCCCCCGGGGCCAGGGGAGCGGGGCGAGGACGGCGGCGGGGCGGGGGGCTCGGGGCCGAACCGACGGATGCTGGCACCGAGGGAAGGGTTGCGCCGCGGGGCCTCGGGGCGCTGCCGGGCCGGGGGCGGCGATGGGGAGCGCCCCGCGGTGGCGAAGGGGTTACGGAGGGACGGGAGCCGGAGCGGCCCCCAGGACCCCCCTGGTGGGGAAGGGTCCCTGGCTGGAGAAGAGGGGTCCCGGCCAGAGCGCCTATAGGAGGGCTGTGGGGAGCGGGGGTCCCGGGGTCCCATTGCAGCCCGCGGAGGGCGGCTGGGGGGCTGCGAGAGGGAGCGCTGCAGGAACTGCCCCAAGGGGCTCCCGAACGCCCGCGCTGCTGCAAAGCGGCGGCCCCGGGGTGCTGCTGGTGCTGGAGGCTCGTACTCATCGTAGTCATCCTCATCACGGGCCGGGGGGAGATGGGGGGACGGCGGGAGGGGCACATCGAGGCGGTCCCTGCCGAAAAGCTTGACCTGAGGCCGGGGGAAGAGCCGGAACTTGCGATTGAGGGAGAGCTTGGAGGAGAGCGTCTCCCGCATGCCCCGCAGCGAGGAGGTGCTGAGGATGGAGAAGGGATACTCCTTGTCCTCCTCCTCCTCTTCATCCCACTCCTCGGGCTCCCCGGCCTCCGCGATCTCCTCCAGGCCCAGGGCATAGGGGTTGCAGGACTGGGCGTGCGGTGCCCACCCCCCCTCGCTGTACTGGATGCGGTGCTCAGGGTACTCGCCCCCAGGGTACCCCCCCGAGAGGGGGTCCCCAAAGTCCTCGTAGGGGTCCCCCCTGTAGCCAAAAGGCCCCACCGTGTCCTCGCCGTACTCCTGGTCGCTGCCATAGGGGTCGTAGAGGGCGAGGGGGGACCCGCCACCAAATGGTCCCTCATCCCCCAGCTCCGCGTAGCCATAGGGGGGTCCCTGGGGGTCTCCCTCCTCCCAACCCCCCCCATAGAAGCCATAATCCTGCTCTGCCTCATAGCCAGGGTAGTCAGAGTAGGGGCTCGGCCCCACGTCCTCGTAGCCGTATGCTGCAGGGTAGGCTGGGGATTGGGCATAGCCTTCCTCCTCCTCAGTGTAGCCACGTTGAGGGCCGTAGGCTCCATCCTCCTCCTCACTGTAGCTACGCCACGGGCCATAGTCTCCCTCCTCCTCAGCGTAGCCGCGCTGAGGACCGTAGGCTCCATCCTCCTCCTTGCTGTAGCCACGCCAGCGGCCATAGGCTCCATCTTTCTTCTTGGCATAGCCCCGGCGGGACCCATACGCTCCATCCTCCTTCTTGCTGTAGCCACGCCGGTGCCTGTAAGCTCCATCCTCCTCCTCAGCCCACCCATAGCGCGGCACCGGCACCTCGGCGGATGCGCGCTGGGAACGCCGCCGGGATGGCCGCCGCGCCATACTGCCGCGCCGCGACACCCTGCCGCTGCCTCCGCCGCCACCGGGGATGCGCTTCATGTTGGCCCGGTGCCGGAGGATCTCGTCTTCCGCAGGGAACGGCAGCTTCTTGGCACCGATCCGGGACAGCCAGGCCGTGTCGGCCGCACGGCTGCCCCCCACCAGCCGCCCGCGCCGGTTCAGCACCTTCTTGGCCAGCCAGCCCGTGGCGGCGGCCGCCTTGCTCAGCACCTGTGCCCGGGGCTTGAATTTCCTCTCCGGGCGCCGGCGGAAGAGGGATGCTCCGTCCTCGGCGTCGGCCGCGCCGCGCCGCAGCAGCAGGAAGGACGGCTTCGCCTGCGGCGCGCTGCCGGATGATGCTTCCTTCCTCTTCTTGCCCACGCGCTTGAAGCGCACCATGAGGTTGGAGGTGGACTTGAGCACCGCTTTGTTCTTCTTCTTCCTCCTCCTGTGGGTGCTGCGCTTGTGCAGCCCCCAGAAGAAGCGCGACGTGTTCTTGAACTGAGCCTTCTTGGGACGGCGCAAACCCAGCTTCTGGAAGCGCAGGAAGAGCTTGGAGGTGCTGCGGAGGCTCCGCTTCGCCCTGGCCTTCGGTGCTGCCGCCGCAGCCGCTGCCTCCTCTTCCTCAGCCGGGCTGGGCTCCACGAGTGCTTTGGTCTCTGCACCCCCTTTGGCTCCTTTCTTCTTCTTGATGTTGGTGGCCGACAGCCCCATCAGCAGCTTGGAGGTGCCCTTCAGGTTCTTCTTGGTGAGCGCCGCATCGCTCTTGCTCTCCTCCTCCTCCGGCTCCAGCTGCACCTTCTTCCCCCGGCCCGGCTTCTTCCCCACCACCCCCTTGAGCACCCCCTTCTTCTCCTTCCCCTTCCCCTTCTTGGGCTCCTCCACAACCTCCTCCTCCGCATCCTTCTCCTTCTCCTCCACCACCACCTCCGTCTCCTCACTCTCCTCCTCCTTCAGCAGCTCCGCATCCGACGTCTCCTCCGACTCGTTGGGCGCCTCCTTCTTGCCTTTCTTCCCATCTTTCCCTTTCCCCCCTTTCCCTTTGGCTTCCGCATCCTTTTTGGGCTCCCCCTTCTTCCCGACCATCCCGACGGTTGCGGATGCTCATGCTCCAACCCCGGCGGGGCGCTGGGAGGCGATGCCCAGCTCCGGCACGAGGCAGCTCCCGTCACCCGGAATTACCTGCACCCGGTGCCGATGAGGCCCATGCCTGTGCGTGGCTCCCTCGGCCGCCGGCAGCCCCCCTCTTGGCATGGTGCTGGAAGGGGGGGGGGGGGGGGGGGGGGGCAGCACCGGTGCAGCCCCCGGTGCGAGCTGCCTCCTGCCTCCCCACGAGCTGGGCTCTGGCTGTAACCCAAGCGCCGCGGCTCATGGTGGTGGCATCAATAATGTAAGGGCTGCGCTGCTCCGGCCACCAGAGCTTTCCAATGCAGCAGGGAAGGGCCCCCCACTGACGGGAGCATCCCCACAATGGGATACTGCAATGTCACCAGCCCCACAACAGACACCTGCCCACCCCGACACTCCTCGGTGCTCCCTGCTCTCTCCACCGGGGAATCCACCTCTTCCCCCACGCAGCACAAAGGAGGATGAAGCCCAAGGATGCTTTTGACCCCATAAAGCCAAAGCCCAGCGCTGAGAAAGAGGAGCCCAGAGCCCGGAGCACGCGGTAGCACCGGCACCATGAGCACGGCCAAAGGGAGCGATGCCGAGGGGAATCCCAACACCAGACATCCCACGCAGCCCCAGTGGGAAGCAGAGAGGGTTCCCCCCACACCGTGCCATGCATGTTACGTGTATGTGTACATGTATGCGCAGGGTGCCACCCGTGTGCACACATAACCAGTGTGTGTGGGGGGGAAGTGCGTGTGCCACACGTGTTTGCTCACAACACGCACCCAGGAGCAGGGGGACCACATCAAATGTTAATGCCCGGGCTGCAGGCTCATCAAAGATTAAGCAGCAGCAGCGATGGGAGCCTGGGGCAGCACCAGCACCGCTCCACGGCCTCACAGGGGTGTGCGGGGAGAGGCAGCAGCAGCAGCGTCCAGCTGTGCCACAGCTGGCGGGGCCAAGAACCAGCTGCTGGACAGAACCCATTGGTTTCCTCCAATGGGCTCTGCCCCACGGCACTGTCTCATCCCCAGCCACAATCTGGCCTCCTCCTGCATTAATTCATGGGCATTCATCCACGCAGGGGCTGCATTCCATACCAGAGCCCCCACAGCTCCACGGGCACAGCGTTCATCCACCATGGGCAGAACAGAGCTGGGGAAGGGGCATTTGTGGCCAGGCGCAGCGGGATGCGGTGTGGGATGGAGGGGGAATCCACAGCCACGAACACCAAACCATGGGGCATCCACACGTGGTGGCTGTTCCCAGAGTGTCTGGGCATGGCCCTGTCCAGCAGCAGAACAAGGGAGGCAGCCTGGGTGCAAATGGCAATGGGGAGCAGGGGAAGGATGCTCGGAGCATCCTCTGACCCCATCATCCCTGAACCGCTCCAGCCACGTGGCTGAGGTAGGGAAAACCACCTCATCCCAGGGACATGGCCCTGGCTGGGTGCAGGAAGGAGGTCAGCCTTTGCTGACCAGGATCCTGCTTTGCCCACCTCAGCTCAGCACAGCAGGACTGTACCTTTGGAGCACTGGCACACACTGCTCCAGGGGCAATGGGGCTCTGGGTCTGTGGTCACCATCCAGCCTGGGTCTGCTTCCAGCTGGAACCCTGTGCCACCGCACCGTGCCATGCCAGCCCATCACTGCTCATCCATGAGAGCCTCCCATGCGAGCTGCTCCACACGAGCATCTCCCATCGCATCCCACATTCCCTTTTTGCATCGCTGTGCATCCACTTCCGAACACCCATGTGCAGCCCTGGCACAGCTCTCTCTGCTCCAGCCATGAGCCACAGGGATGCTGGGAGCACATGGACAGGCCGGATGCTTCCAGTAATGGGGAATGTGGCAGCAGCAGCACAGCCCTGCAAGCCTCCGTGGCACCATGGGGGTCTCTCCTTGCTGCCCTGAGCACCCATCACACACCTGAACTGGCTCATTCCCATCCCCTCCAATTCCTTGCTCCAGATTGAGGATGGGGACCCAGCACATCACATCCCTGCCTGCTGCATGCTGTCTGATGACAAATGCTGCCACAAGGGAGGTGCTACGGGGAGGAGAGAGGCTGGAGCAAATGCCGGGCATGAGGCATCCCTGGCATGCACTCAGGAATGCTGCCTGGCAGCTCCAGAGCCAGGTCACAGCCTTGTGCCATCACCTCAGCCCCAGATCCAAGCACAGGGTCCCACAAGGCTTGGCTATGGCGTGGGGCAGCTTTCCCAGGGCAAAGCAGCCCCGAGACACAAGGAATTTGGGGAAAAGGTGGTAGGAGACATGGAGCAAAGGGCAGCAGGATGCTGCTGGGAGAGGCAAAAGGCGGGATGAGGAGGGATAAGGGCAATGAGCACAGAGAGGAGGGGACACCGCACGCCCTGACCAGGGGATCCGAGCCCTACAGCGCTGCATTCACAGGAGGACCAACATCACACACAAAGGCAGAGCCACGGCAGGACCTGTGATGCCAAGGGATGCATCACCCCATAGGGGACCCGCAGGCACTCACCTGGGGCAGCCTAAGGCGCCCGCATGGCGCTGGTCGTGCTCTTGGCTTCGCTCCCCATCAGGGACCGCGGCTCCGCGGCAGCCGCAGGACCGCGCTTGCTGCAGGCGCTGACACCCAATGCATATTTGATGAGCGCTATTGTTCACATCGCCGCTCATGAGCGGAGGGACCGGAGCCGATCTTTCCCTCTGCAAGGCCGGGAGCAGCAGCTCTGATCCTCCTGTGTTCCCATCCATCTCTTCCTGCTTACCAGTGACAGCCCCAAAACCCCTTCCCTCTGGGATGTAGACCTGCGCCACCTCTGTCATCGAGCCCAGATGCGAACAAATGGCCCCAGAGCAACGTGAGTTTAGGAGAAGGCATCACAGGGATACAGGGATGGACACACACACACACATACCCTTCACATCCTTCTCCATAGTAGGGCTGGAGAAGGGATCTAGACACCATCATCCCAACAGTACCATCGGGATGAGCAGGGCATCTCTGCCTGCTTCACAAAGCATCCCAGTGCCTCAAAGCTCTGACACCAGCTCCCTGCATCACACCAAACTAGAAACCATATACCCAGCAGCGAAAAGAGCCCTTTCTCCTTCTCCAAAAGCAGGGACAGCATCCTGCTGCAGGCTCCCTCCTCCTCCACACAGACACATCCCTGCTGGAATGCGGTGGGTATTTATTATGCTGATTCCTCAGAAAGCGAGGCCTTAACTGCAAATTACAATCAATAGCCCCAATCCCCACGGGGCAGCTCCATCACTGAGCAGGCTGCAACCAGAGGAATTCAAACCTATTTGCCAGCCATAAATCCTCCTCTCGGCAGCCTCCCGATGGCTGCTCGGGGTGACCCTTGTCAGCATCTGAAACAATTAAGCTGTCACAGCGGAGCGTGCCTCTTATCTACAGCCCTGAGCAGCACTTGAGGATGGCAGCAGTGATGGGGCTGAGGCGAGCCCGCCTGCACTAAGTGTCTCTCATTGAATTAAATGAATGGATTTGGAGGCAGAGGCTCTTTTTATTACCTTGCAAAGCGATTCCTGACTAAATTATGCTCTAAAAGGGAGCGTTCAGCCAATCCAAGCTGCTCGATTGCCTGGAACAGGCGCTCGAAACAGAGCACGCCTCGGGCTGGCGCTGATTCCGGGGTAGATGGAGGGTGGCTGATGGGCTGTGTCAGAGCTGATCCGCCCCGCTTCCCACCTGGAGTGATGCCCAGCGGTGATGCACGGCGTGCTCCAGCAACAGGGTAGGATCCATGCAGGGAGCAGGGTATGGCACTGAGGGAAGGGGAGTAAAGAGCAGGAAATGGTTAAGAGCAAATTGCTCTACGGGGCAGATTGCTCTATGGGGTGATGCTCGTAGAGCATCACCCAAGCTCATAAAGCAGGGAAAAGGCAGATGCTGCTCTATGGGGGCAAACTTAAAACAGGGAGATTTAGGTTGGATATAAGGAATAAGTTCTTCCCTGTGAGGGTGCTGAGGCGCTGGCACAGGGTGCCCAGAGAAGCTGCAGCTGCCCCATCCCTGGCAGCCTTCAAGGCCAGGTTGGAGCAAGCTGCTCCAGTGGAAGGTGTCCCTGCCCGTGGCAGGGGTTGGAGCTGGGTGAGCTTTAAGGTCCCTTCCAACCCAAACCATTCTATTCTACTCAACCACCCCACATCCTCCCACCAGAGCCTTTCTCCAAACCCACTCAGCAAGGATGCTCCGAGCATCCCTCAAAGCTAGAGAAGGGTCCAGCCCATCCCATAAACCTCCAGAACAATCCTAATGCTGCAGATTCTCCCCCCCCCCCTTGCCCTTTGGATCTTGCTTTCTGAGGATTCAGAAGCATCATCAGCCAAACCTGCACCCGACTGCAATGTTGGCAGCTTTTAACGTCAGTGCAGACCAATTAGGGAAGCCGTCTGGAAAAGTGAAGGCTGCAATTAAATGCGTCTTCAAATACAGCCATAAACTGGCTTGCAAGGAGCTACTCTCACTAAAAAAAGAAGTTATCTTCTTCTGCCTCCGCTATTTTTACTTCATCCCCATTCCAAATTTAATCACCTACCAGGAGTTCATCTGGAACGGGATAAAACACCCAATTTCCCAAAGGAAAAGTAATTAGACAGAGGGGTTTTAATGGTGGATTAGTCATTCTGACACCCAGACACATGGAGAGGCAGGCACTAACCAACCAAGGACACGTTCCAGCAGGTAATGCTGAGCATTTCAGCCTCACACAAGCACCAGGTATCTTCCCAACTCCACACACTGCCCGGCCTAAGGATGGAGCCCACTGCTGTGCCAGGGCTTAGATTGAAGAGCCAGAAACTCAGGGACACAATGGAACGAAAAGAAGTCTTTGTGTGGGTAACTCTGTGCAACCTCGATGGGAAATGTAAAGGGCAAGTGAATTGGAACAGCATCCCACCCGACTGACACGGAGAAGCTCCTGCTTTCCACAGCCAGCTCAGGGGGGATGCGGCTGATTTGGAGCTCATTCTCCACTTGCTGCCTTCGTGGCCTGGATTTGCTCTTGCATTCCAGCTGTGAACAAAGGCAGGAACAGGGAAGGGAGCTCACAGAGTTCAAAGTCACCTTCTTAAATAGGTATTACACACAATACCTAAGCTATCTCCATCACTCATCGAGTGCCCTCCAGCCTGCCTCACAATCCATTCCCTGCTACAACCTCCTGCAGCAGCATCCAGCACTCCTCAGGTGGCCAAAGGTAAAGCAGAGAGGTAGAAAGCACCCCAAAGCCATCTGCCCACTGCAGGCAGACACCCACAGTTCACATGAAATAGCAACTTTTATTTCCTCAAGTAAAATAATCCTTCCATTTCTGCTCAATCAGTGGGTGAGGGATGGGGAGGAGCTCACAGGAGAGGAAAGGAGCCCTGCTCAGACAAGTTTGCCATCAGACCTGTCCTCGCAGTTAAGGATCCACATCACCCCGAACCCCCTTTTTTCCCCCATGAAAGAAAATAAAAGCTATTGGCAACTCTTGATCCAGAAGGAAAGAGCTGTTCTCTATCAGGCACTCTCAATTGTTTAGCATCAGCATTGAAGGGAAAAAAGCAGGATTAGAAAAAGCCTGGATTTCTGATGGAAAACAGCCAGACAAGCAACAATGGTTACAGGGCTGGGGTGAAACCCATGGCATGGGGTGGTACTTGGAGCTCATAGAACTGTTACTGGAACTGAGGGGCATGACTGAGAAAAGAGGAGATCCCCCGCAGGACTCTTGAGGATCAATGGGCAGGACGAGCAAAGGAGCTCCTCAATGAGCAATAAGTCCCAAGTGATTCCTCACTGCAGACCATGGCTCTTTGATCGCACCCTGCTGCAGTTTGCCCAGGTTAATTCATTAGCAAAGCTCCATTCATCATCTCTCTCAGTACCAGCTGGAGCAGGGGGTCCTACAAACCCTACTGCAGAGCTAAGGAGAGGCACAGAGAGCCACGTTCTCGTGTTAACTCAGGTGGGACCATGATACATTCACCAGGGGTTGTCTCAGATGCAGAGACCAAAGTCTCCAATGGTGAATGCTGCAGAGGCCATGATTCCAGTGGGCAGGGGAGGGAGAACTTGGTTTTTGTTTCAGATCAATGCTTAACTTATGTGAATGGATAAGCAGCAAAGCATCAGCAATGATCCCTCAGCCCTGGCTTCCCTGTCCCAAAGCACAGGGCCAGATCTGTTCTCACAAACCCACTGGTTAAGCCAGCCACATGGATCCATGTGCAAACCCTGTCTCTGCTAGGAGCAGGACACCCCTACCTGTGGGAACTGTGTCCTAGAAGAAGTGGCTCTTGTTTCTAGGAGACAACACTTCACCTGATGGAACCTCCTCTTCCCCATCCCCACCTGCGTGTACAGTAGAGTAGCCTCAGCTTTTGCCTTTCTCCAAGAGAAGGAGCTTCACAGAAGCCCTCTTGGCTGTGGAACACGTCTCCCCTTTCCTTTTTCTTTCTCTTTTTTGTTTATTTCTTGTTTTGCTTGGTTGCTTTTGCTTTTATGTGGTCAGTTCCAATTATAGTGATCAAAGACGAGGCCAGGCACCAACCATGAGTTACTTCTTTACGATCTGAATGACGTCTTCGTGCTCCATCATATGGGTTAAGCCCACTCTTTGAGGGCTGTATTTTGTGCTTGTTCCCTTCAAAGCAAAAAGGGAAGAAGGTTAAGAGGAGACCAGAGACAGCAGAGCACGTGGATGTCATTTGCTGCTAAGCACTTACCCACACCAAGGCATATTTGAACTGGCTGGCTAACGACCTGTGGATCCGATGGCACTGCAAGAGAGACACCATGTGAGGCAGTTCAATGACACTACTTTGCCTTTACAAACAACCTACTCGATACTCAGGAACGAAAAGCAACTCAACTCTATGGCAAAAATGACAACAGTGACTTTAGGAGCCAGTTAATGGCACTTAGAAGAATACAGAAGAGACATACAGGAATCACCAGCCCCCAAACAGCCCCAGTTCCACTGCTCCCATGTGCTTCTTCACTGGACTGCATTCAGTTATCTTTTTCAGCCTTTCCTAGCAGCTAGGAAAGGTAACAAAAGGAGAAGCCCAGGTAACACTGACACATCCTGAGCTTTATGAAGCACAAATCAGAGCAGGCTCCAAGAGGAAGCTGCCTTCTACAGACAAGGACACATAAAAGATGCAGAGAAATTACCACATGCTCCACAGAGGCCCCTTTCCGGAGAATAATGGCATCTGTAAAGTCTGGTCTCTCTGTGGAGAAGCAGGAGAGGGAGGGAACGAAAAGCATTTGATTTCCATCAAGTGTGTTCTAATATGCTGACACAACCTCACCTTGCCTTGTGCTTACTACTCCCAAATTCCTCCTCCTGTTACACTTGCCCAGACAAACAGGCATTGAAAGCATCAAATCTGTTCTGCAGACACCCCAGCACTCACAAGTAATAAGGAAGAAAGCAGTGAGCTTGTACACTTTACTTCCTTGTGTCATCATAGAATGGTTTGGGTTGGAAAGGACCTTAAGATCATCCAGTTCCAACCCCCTGCTATGGAGAGGGATGCCTCACATTAGACCATGTCACCCAAGGCTGTGTCCAGCCTGGCCTTGAACCCTGCCAGGGATGGAGCACTCACCACTTCTTTGGGTACCCTGTACCAGTGCCTGACCACTCTCACAGCAAAGAACTTCTTCCTTATATCCAACCTGACCTTCCCCTGTTTGAGTTCAGCTCTTAGTGCAGAGAGATAGGATCAGGTGGAAGAGAAAGCATCTCCCAAGAGCTGAAAGCTGCCTAGGGAGAGCATAACTGCAGCATTCCCAAGACACACGAGCTCGCTGACAGCCTGGCCCCCAGCAGCAGCCTGTCTGAGCACTGACCCTTTGTGCCTTTCAAACCTGTTCAGCTGATGGCCACTTACGTCCTCGTTTCTTGGTGTAGATGCAGGTAAGTGCCAGGTATTCCCAGAGCTTCTCCAGCAAGTAATCCAGGTTCAGTTTCATGCCACAGCTGCAAAACACCAGGAACATCTCAGTGTTTATTGCTGGTGTGATTTAGAGCTCCAGGAGAACAAGGTGAAGCATCTCACTGAGGGTTAGGGGACAAAGGGGAAAGTCTTTAAAGAGGCCACTAAAGGAAAAAGCCCCAGGTGAAGCAACTAAATAGAGCTTTCAGAAGAGTGAGGAGCTCTGGAGCACCAAAGCCCCAGACAGATATAGCAGCACTTCTAAACCAGCTTAGATTGGCTTAAACTGGCCTGCAGACAGTGTGGAGAAGCCAAGCAGCCTGCCTCTGCAGGGAAAGGAAGCCTGGAAAAAGCCCTTCCTTGGGAAAAGCTGGAGAAAGGGGTATGGAATGAAGCAGCACACCACCTGGGCCAGGACATCAGTGTCACAGGCTCCTACCTGATGACAACACTGTGGGGCCGCCGAGCAAGACGATCCACCTCCTCCATTGATATCTGGTCAATCTTGTTATAAACCTAAGTGAAAGAAGAAACAACACACCCCTTAGGAAGTCAACTCGGCAACACTGCAAGGAAGTAAGGCCTGTACCTGCAGGTATCATGCATGGTAAGGCAGGTACACGCAGGGTATTTGCAGCATCTGAAATGGAAACTCAGCTCCTGCGAGCCAGGGCAGAGGCCAAGGCTCTTCGTAAAGCAAACTGCTAAAATCCAGAAGCTTAAATGTTAAGTTTGGCCCTTTTAAAGTTCATCCTTTGGGATGATTTGCAATGTGTTCTCCAGTACCTTGGGTTTCACTATAGACCCAGTTGCTACGAGAGCCATTACGTGACCTCTGGCACATGGGACCTGCAGCGAAACCCCAAGCACAGAGCTTTGCAGCACAGGAAGGCTCCGTGCCATAGGAACAAACCCCATGGCACCAGGACAGGCAGCTCCTCATGCTGCTCCACAGCAGGCAGCCACAAGAGGGCACAGAGAACACACACAGAGCACAGCCACCCATGGCAAGCTGATGAAAAGCTCCCTGTGGAGCCGTTTTCCACTTCTTAACCCCCAAATCGTTACTGCTTTAGGAACCAGGAAGATCCAGTGTCTGCTTCAGCACAGGCTGGAGGTGATGCTGGGTGCAGGCTGCTCCCGAGATACTCACGTAGAGGCACGGCATGTAGACCCTGTTGCCTACGATCACATCAATGAACTCATCAGGAGAGCAATCCTCCCTGAACAGGACCTCAGCGTTGAAGATTTCTGAGGTGAACATTGTCAAGGCCCAAACCCCAACACATCCACACATCACTGGGAGCCAGCGGCCTGAGCTGGCTTGTCTATGCTGGCTGTCAACCCAGCAAGCACCAAAGGCACTGCAAGGCTGTCCCACTGTGGGTCCCACTCGATGCTGACGGCTTAGGGGTCTCCTGTGTTAGGAAAGGATACTGTATTCATGGAGGATGAGCTGCACCAGCTTCTCAGAGCACTGAGTCAACGTGACAGTTGAGTTGAAGGAGATGCCTCCACCCTTCTTCGGCTGCAGGGAGGCAACAAAGAGGCTTAAGAACAGTGCAAAATTCACAACCCTCCTTCAGTCTGTCCAACACAAGGGGCAGCACACAGGGATCTCAGCCCTGAACAGGCAGCCAGACACATCTGTGCTTGCAGCAGCCCAGGAATCCTCACCTTGAAGTAGATATTTGGTTTGCTTTTGTTCAGACGGATTCCTACAGACTCCAGTTCTTTCTCCAGCAAGGCCCTGCAGGGACACTGCACATTAGTACCTGTGAGAGTGAGCACGGTCAGAGGACATCCATCCCCTCCCTGTTTGACTCTCCCATGCATACAGCCTTTCACTACACCCACAGCTAATACAGGACAGTGTGTGGTGGAAATCAAGGTTGACATCCCCATCTCCAAACAGCCATCCATAGGGAACAATTCAGCTCAGGAGCTCAAGCCAGTTTGCTAGCACACTTCTAACGGAGTACAACCTCCAGCTTGTACTCAATAGCTTTAATACTGGCTCCCCAACATGCTGGGAGCACAACACTTGAGGGAGCTGGTGCGTTCAAACCCCTGGGCGCATGGGAGCCCCTCAACCTGGCCACCCCATAGCTCCGCAGCCCAGCAGCACATACTCACCTCTGTACCTCACCCTTCGTGGCATCCAGCATCATAATAACCACATCTGCTGTCCTGGCCACAGCTATCACCTGCCGGCCTCTGCCCTTCCCTGAGAAGAGAGGAGATGGCCACATCAGCAAGGAAAACCAGCTCCGAGGTCTGTGTCAGAGGAGGGCTGCTGCTTGGAAGTAAGGAAAAAGGTCCTGCAGTGCTGCCCTGGCTGCAGCCAGCTGCTGGAGGGCCCCGAGGGACTCTTATCTGGTCCATCCATGCTGTGTTATGTCCAGCACAAACCCTAACAAATACCCTTTACTGCTGCTCTGCCACAGGATACAGGAATCAGTGTGTGCAGAGCTATTGGAGTACAGCTGCATGGGTGGAAATGACATCTGTGACAGCAGGACACACATCCCCACACACATGCTATGGCAGCAGCTCCAGATACGGGCCTAGGGTCCCGGTGCAGAAGGGTTCAATGTATTTTCTGGTCCAAAAAGACAGAGACCTTATTAACCAGGCCATGCTCCTCCAAGAAGAGTCCAATGGGAGATTATCCTCAGCTCCCTACGGCATCTTCTGACACAGGCAATGTGGGGACAATGACAAAGCCAGCACCCCCTCCCATAATCAGGAGTCATGGGAGGACTGGCAGGTTCTCAGTCAAAAGGGGTTACTGTGTAGCTGTAATTTCCCCCTCCGCCTCTCCAGCATCTTTCTTTAGACTTCCTCTGCACCACAAAACAGATGAGCAAGATAACACTCGCACAGGAAGGTGAGAAGAGCCTGCCTTGCTTTGGCTCCCACCTCCAGAAAAGCAGCTTTCTGCTACATATAGAACCGTACGTGGGCTCTGGGATAAAAATCGTGCTTCACATAAGATCAAGGACTCTTCAAATGTGGAAAACCAACGTGGAAAACCATTGGCCCAGGAAACCTGCTAATGTGTGAGGCACTGCAGGTACGCAGCTGAGGGCAAAGCCCTGCTTGACATGAACACATTGATCCAACCTTGCGCTGCTCCTTCGATGATGCCAGGCAGATCCAGCAGCTGAATGTTGGCTCCTTTGTACTGGAAAGGAAACAGAAGGGTGGGAAGTTGAAAGCCTCGGACAGGGCACCTGAGCTGCCTCAAAAGCCCCAAATACGTGGTGCAAAGCCTGCGAAGAGCGGAGCTGAATGAGGCTGACAGAGCAGGACAGCCCTGCATAGTGCTGACAGCTCTGTTTTGGCAAAGCCACCTCCAGAGTGTTTCCTATGAAGCTGTGTGCAGCACACCAGGTCCTCAGCTCCTAAAGCACGGCAGCACTGCGGCTGGACAAAGCACCAGGGAGAGGGGAGAGACCCCTTCCTCTTGGTCTAATGAGGAAGCACAGGAACAAGCAAGGGCCACCACGTCTCACTGAGACAGCTCAGAGTTAGTCGGATGTGTTGCAGGTCTTACAGCAGCAGGAAGCAATGGGAGGCTTTCATTCATCACCAGATCTGTGGGGGCATCAGCTCCCATGTTGTTACTGCAGCAAAGCCCTCTTAGCAACTGCATGTGGATGTGTCACAATATTAGTGTTTGGGTTCACACCAATACAGTTGCTTTCATTATTTAACTCTGCTTTGCAATGCAGACCCTGCTTTTCTCATTCCTCTTGAACGCTTTTCAGTTTGATGCCCTTTGTCATTTGCTTTGCTGACGGATGCTTAGCCCACCGCTAATAAAACTCCTCAAGGACAGGAGGAGCTGTGTTTTTCCTTCCAAAATTGATCACAGTACAGATTGCCTCTTTTAAAGCTTCATTAAAAACAAATCTGTCAAGGTTTGCAGCCATCTGGTCAATGCTGCCAATAGCGGGTATTAAAAACTCAGCTGAGAACCGTCGCGTTGCTCTGGTCAGTCCAACAGCAGCGGAGGAAGCCCCGCTCAGCCAGCCAACGCTGGGAGGGAAGTGCTAAATCAGCACTGCAGGTTGCACAAGACCTGCGAGCACTCACGACATCCTAGAGGTGAAAGCAGAAGCCAGCAGAGCCCTTTGGCTATCACTGCTTCTTAGCGGCAGCACGAGCGTTAACTGGTGCAAACAGACGCATCAGCGTGGCTGGGGTTCTTGCTGCTACTACTACGTGGAAAGGAGGAGAATCCTACTCACTTCTATGACTCCTGGGATGCACGTCAGGGTTGTGAACTCGTAAGAGGCAGCTTCGCTGGCGGTTGAGGTCATTAAGCTCAAGAACGTGGACTGAAAGGCAGGAGATGAGCATCACTGAAGGGACACCGGTGAAAGCAGAACAAGCAACACCAAAGGGTCCCTCGGCTCTTAGGAGCTGGGTTCTGGCTGCTCGAGGCACAAGGATTAACGTGGTGATGGGACAGACAATGCTTTCCTGAATGATGGTAAATCATCAGGGACTGGAGCAATAGGACAAGGGGAGATGGGTTCAAACTGAAACAGGGGAAGTTTAGGTTGGAGATAAGGAAGAAGCTCTTTACTATGAGGGTGCTGAGGTGCTGGCACAGGATGCCCAGAGAAGCTGTGGCTGCCCCATCCCTGGCAGTGCTCAAGGTCAGGTTGGACACAGGGGCTTGGAGCAACTTGCCCTAGTGGAAGGTGTCCCTCCCTGTGGCAGGGGTTGGGGCTAGATGAGCTTTAAGGTCCTTTCCAACCCAAACCAGTCTGGGATTCTATGATTCCATGATAAATCCCACACTCCCACCTTTTTTCTCTGCAATGCTGTGGCTGGGCAAGACCAAGCTTCAGGCTGTTGCCAGAGGGCACAAGAGGAAGGCTGGTTTTCCCTCCCCCTAACCTTCAGCTCTCAGCATACAACCACCTCCTGTTAACTCCTGGCAGGGAGGTGAGAGACGAAGAGCTGAGGGGTTTCTGCTTCAGACACCGCTATCCCAAGCTGGGAATGCAGAGGCTCTCACTGACCTTACCCACGGAAGGAAAACCGATCAGTGCCACGCGGGCATCTCCGGATTTCATCACATCGAAGCCTTCTCCTTTCGCAGCCGAGGATTTGGATGGCTCCAGCAGCTGAGCTCTGTACTTTGCAAGCTTCGCCTTCAGCAGCCCAAGGTGATACTCGGTGGCTGGAAGAACAGGAACACAACACCCAGTTAACACAAGCGGGTGGTAATTCACTGCCAGACCCCTCCTAACAAACAACGCTGCGGTTCTTGGTCACGGTCTTAAGCGCTGCCACGCACAGGAGCTGCTCTGTAGCATCTGAAACACTGGGCATTGGGAGCTAAGCTTTGGTAACCTGCCCATAAAGTCAGACTCAAGGGGAATAAGCAGCCAAAACGCTCCTTAGTAAAAGAAGGGAGCCAGAGAGAGAGCAGGGGCAGGAATGAACAGTGAAGGGAGCCAGTTAAACGGAGAGAACACAGGGGGAATGGCTGCTCCAGGGCAAAGACCCCCCCCTTACCCCAGCCACATTTAACATTATAAAGATGTAAGATTTCTTTTTTCCCTGCTTTTGTCCACTTTTAAAGACATTTAACTTGGAGCTCCCGTGTGGAAGTTATTTTATGGGCTTATTCTTGGCAAAACCCGACAGATTTAGGTTAGGTATTAGCAGAAAGCTCTTTACTATGAGGGTGCTTAAGCGCTGGCACAGGGTGCCCAGAGAAGCTGTGGCTGCCCCATCCCTGGCAGTGTTCAAGGCCAGGTTGGACACAGGGGCTTGGAGCAAGCTGCTCTAGTGGCAGGTGTCCCCGCTTGGAGCTGGATGAGCTTTAAGGTCCCTTCCCACCCAACCCCAGGCTGTGATTCCAGGGGAACACTTCCCATTCCCACCCGGCCCAGACGAAGAGGAGGCAGAGCCCTTTTGTCACAGAGAAGGCCACAAACACCAGCACTTTACAGCTTCATTCCCTCATTCCCCACAGCAGCGGGGCTCAGGGCACCCACTCCCACAGACCCCAAGGGGAGCTCTGCTCCCCGTTCCCCGGACCCTTTTGCACCAGCATCACTTGGTCTCCTCGCCCCAACCCCGAGCAGAGCCACCGTAATACCGGGGGTCATTAACATGGGGGGGTCATTAACATCGGGGCCTAACGGCGGGGGAACAGCGACTGTGTGTGTGTGGGGGGCAGAACCCCCGTTCCCCCCATGCACCCCCCCTAACCCCGACCCCGCACCTTTGTTCTTCTGCGTGCGGGCGATCTCCTTCTCGATCTCCGAGATCTTCTCGAGGATGCCCATGGCGGGGCCCTCACGCCGCGCTCCGGAACTGCCGCCGGGCCCCGTTCCACGTCCGGGTTGAGGCAGGCCCTGGGCGGGCGGAGCTGTGCTCCCGCCGCGCCGCTCCGGCTGCTCCCCCTGCGCCGCGCGTTGTGGGTTCCGGGTGTTGGTACCCAGCGGGACACGGGTTGGGGAAGGATGGAAGTTAATGGATAGGGATTATAGGGAGAGCGCTAAGGAAGGAGGCAGGATGCAGAGGGAGCTCCCCCACCCCGCCCCGCTCCATTAATGAAGGCCAAACCCTGCGTTTAAAGCAGTCAGCCCCACGCTGGCAGTGCTCAACACCAAGTCAGAGCAAACTGCTTTAGTAGAAGGTGTCCCTGCCCATGGCAAGGGGTTGGAATTAGGTGAGCTTTAAGGTGTTTTCCAACCCAAAGCAGTCTGGGATTCCATAACTGGATTCCTGGAGGAATCCCATGGGGAGAGGAAGGAAGCACAGCTCTCCGCTGGAACGAGAAGTGCTTTGGTTGACAAACACACATGGACACAGAGCCCTTGAATACAGTTCATGTTTAATTTGGATGTTGATCGCTCTGCAAAACACCTCCTGTAACGCCTTATAGAGATATCACAACCTCTCCCCACACCAAACACCCCATCTCTGACCCCCAAAGCCCACACCGGTTCTCTCTCCCCACACCGGGACATACAGAACACCTCTCCTGAGCTCAAACAAGGCAAAAGGAAAACCAAAATGAAGGTTTATGGGGGGGAAGCTCTGAGCACCAACAGCTTCCTCAGCTCTGCAACCTTCTCTGTGCCTACCACACAAGTCAGCATTACCCCAAGTGTTGGCTTCAGGATGGTGGGAAGGAGATGGCACAGAGCGGGATGCTCCTTCCCCACCCTTGGAACATACCAAGCCTCAAAGAAAACCCTTCAGAGGTTTTGGGGTACTTGGACATCTTAAACAACCCCAGGACCCTTCCTAACCCAGCTCCTGTCAACAACCAGCGTTAACTCAACTCAACCACAGCAGAAACCCAAGTGTCGCACCCTGGGAAGCACAAGGAGGTTGGTGTCACCAACCAGCATGGCACAGAGAGCTCTGGAGTGCTGTAAAGAGCCTCTGGAGCTGTGTCCCTGTGCCCAAACAGCACCTAGGAGGAGGCTTCACCCCATGCTTGGTCACAGCAGAGCACCACTGAGGCTTCTGCCTCTAAACCCAGCACCATCCATGAGGAAACCCCTCTCCCCATTGCTAAAGGGATGAGTTTCTTTGAGCAGGATAAAACAGGAACGTGCTTCCCAACTGCTCTGCTCCCAGCCGCTCTCCCTTCATGCCTCGAATCGCTCTCCCACTTCCCCCTACTCTCCAAAGCCACCTGCAACAGCCAAGACAATGCACATGCTTCCCTCATGGCATGGGGGGCTCCTGCCCCACGGAAGGGCCAGGTCCCCCCTTCTCCCAAAAGCAGGTCTCTCCCCACTTGTGCTGGGCTATAGGATTCATCTGCAGCGAACAGCACGCTCAAAGCAGGCGATTCCTGCTTCACTTCCCAAGCCCAGCTCAGCCACTTCCCAAATCACACAAGATCCCAACTTGGAATAAAGGAAACATGCTCTCCAAGACCTGAATACTTTCTCTTTAAGGCTTAAACTAGCAATTGAGCTGCTGCAATAAACTAAAGGAAGCAAGGGCAGCTCAAAAGAAGAAAATCCAAACAACCTTGGTGCTAGGCACAGGGAGGCTTCACTTCCTCAGCACCCCCCCGGCTAACTCCCAACACAAACCTGTTCAGAGGGGTTTATGCTTCAAAACCAGCCAGAAAAGCTCAAACTAAACCCTCATACAAGCCCCACAGGGGTGGGACAGTCACATAAAACATACAACCGAGGCCGAGTGTTAAAATGTCTTTAAGAAACCAAACCACACGCGCATCACACACACACACACTTTGGCACAGGAGCCTTAAGTTACCACTTGAAACATTCCAAGTCAGAGGAGAGCTACTTGGGGATGGGTTTTGTTGGGGTATTTTTTGCCTTTCCTTGGGTTTTTTTAGCCCCATAAAAAGGTATCAAGCAGCGGTGGGGAAGCACAAGGAGCGAGTGCAAATGCTGCCCTGTTCCTATGGTGCTGCTCGGAAGCAGGCGGCTGATTACAGACACGTCTGGAAAACTAACACAAAACATTCCTGGTTTTCAATGTGAAAACTGTAAAATGCCATTGAGTACTTGTGCATTGGGGTCCTTTGGAAAAGGAACCATAAAAATATATATATATTTAATAAAAGTCTCTTTTTTTTTGTCTTTTTTTGTCTTTTACCCTTAACTTAAGTAAAGAGCAAATATACACCTATAAGCAAGAGTTCAGATCCACTTTACTGAGAGCCTGGAAGTCCATACATCAAATTAATTCCCAGTGGCTTATCCAGACACTGGAAGAGCTCCCAGCTCCAAAGGGCTGGCATTCCTGAAAGATCTGCAGCTCTGGCTAACCTCCTCAGCCAGCACAAAGCAAAGACTCATTCCAGCCTTATCTGCCTCAGCCAATGCTCCCCCAACACACTGCAGGCGAGCAGAGCCCCCCCAGGCACACAGGACCCGGCTGTGGGAGCAGCAATCTGGGCAACAAACCTGAGTCCTGGCGATTTCAACCCATCTTGAGGCTGGAAGAATGAAAATAGAAAGCACCCAGCTTGTGTTTTCTTATTACTCAGAGGGCAAACCACTGATTCCAGCTACTGAGGAAACAGCTTCCAAAGGAGAGCCGGGAAGAGCTTCAGTGATAGAGAAACTAACTGTGCAATAAGAAAGTGCATTTAAAGGTAGCTCAAAAACCAGATTAAAGATCAAATCGCCACTCGACAGGAGGGAGAATCAAGCTCCAGCAGCCACGCTCCTTGGGCTGGGTGAGTTTTACATTCAGGCTCTGTCTCGCGAGTCCGAGGGGCAGGAGAGAAGCATTCCCGTGCTCCGACAGGGACACAGTTCTCCTGGCAGGCCATGCTCTCCTGCCCAGTTTGCTTCTGTGTGGTACCAGTTCCGGACAGCTGTCATCGGAATTCATAGATAGGAGCACTGTGCTCAGGAACGTGAGTTAAATTCAATGACTGATACCTGGGAGAGAAGGAAAGAGATGAGCGAAGAGGATTACATAGAGCAACAGAGCTCCCCTAGCACTTGGCAGGCCCCAGGGCACACAGCCTGGTGGGTGGCTTTTCTCTTGCCTTTTAGGTGCCTCAGAGGTGTTCAGGCACCCAACACCCACTTACCCACAGTGCCAAACCCCTCAGCATCATGCCTCGTTTCCATTCCCTGAGCTACCTGCAGGCAGGCTGTGTTTGAGGTGGGCTCTGGACACCTTTTGAAGTTCAACAACTTTCATGTTCCAACAGTGTTTGCTATGACTGCAAATCACACTCAGGTCTTTCAAAGCTCAGCTTGAGGGGATCTGTCTGAAAGCCTCCCAAGTACTTTCCCTCCCTCTGAGAGCTTCAGCCACCCTACAGATTCACTTGCTGTGTGTGTCACATTCAAGGCTGTCAGAGGGAAAAAAGCTCTCCACAGCTCACTGTCAGATCCTTGCCTCTAATAAGACACCAACTGACTTTGACTGTTCCTTTGTCTTATAGCAACACCCCAAGGACCTTGGACTATAACACACTGGCCTGACAAGGCTGCTGCCTGAAGGGAGCAACAGCCAAGCTGTTACATGTGAGGAGGCACTGAGCTCGCTCTCAGAAGCCCCTCTGACATCCTCTGAAGGGGCAAGGCACAGAGAAGCTCAAAGCCTCAATCACTGAGCAAAGCACAAGCTGAGGGAGCACAACTCCACCCATGAGATGAGGCAGCCCCGTGCTCATCTTCCCTCACAAGAGGGCCCTGTGGGCACTTGCACTGGAGACAAGGCTTCTGAAGGGATGCTTTTAGTGATCCATAACTGGTATCTGCCTGCCCGTGTACCAGAGCATTGCTTTGCTGAGCCACAGCACGCCTCCAGACCTTGTACCTCCCCTGCTCCACCTCACCAGCCCAATTATTCCCCACCATGCAGAAAGGGCAGCGCTTTACACCACACAAATGGGCTGCAGGAGCTTGCTCTGGCCAAAAGTATGGTGCACACCCCATCCCTTCCGCCCTGAGGTCCAGCCACCAGGCTAAACCCCCTTCTCAGCCCAGAGAAGCACCACCTGGACACTCCTAGGTTTGAGGAGCAGAAGGGAGGAAGCTTCCTTACCATTCTGAACTCCTATGGTAGTAATAGCCCTCTATAGATGCTGCTGACTTCTGGAAGCAGATGTAATAGAAACCAGCAAAGGAAGCACCGCTGATGTCTTTGATGGTGTGATCTGGGACTAGGAACTGCTCCTGTATACAAAACACAGACTCTGGTTTAAAATGCCAGTCAAATACAACCCCCTGCCTTCAATGTGTCCTCCTAAACTGAGCACTGGCACCCGCTAACATGAAGGCATTCCTGTCTGAGCACTCCCTGCACCCTCAGCAGCCCAACACACACAGACCACCGTGTTCTTTCACCACCTGCCACTGTAGGCATCCTACAGGGGAGCAGACAACTGAGGACAGAAGCTCTTATAACAAGAGGGCATGAGATCAGTTTCAGCTCAAACCAGAAGCCAATTGCAAAGCCAGCAATCAGAGCCAGCTGATGATGAAGAGAAAGCTCTGGGGAGACCTTACAGCCTTCTAGGGGGCTTAGGAGAAAGATGGAGAGACTTTTTTACCAGGGCATCTAGTGATAGGAGAAGGGGTATCAGTTTCAAACTAGAAGAGAGTAGATTCATGTTAGGTATAAGGAAGACTTTCTTTGCTGTGAGGGTGGCAAGACACTGGCACAGGTTGCCCAGAGAGGTGGTAGATACCCTACCCCTGGAAGAATCCAAAGGGAAAAGATGCCCCCCAGTGGGGAAGTGGTACCAGAATGACCTTCAAAAGCCTCTTCCAACACAAACCACTCCACGTTTCTATCATTTCCTCCCCTTGCAGCTGCACAAAGCTCATGCAAAGAGGGAAGAATCAACCCAGGTGAAGAACAGAGAGGTGCAGACTGTCCAGTCTGTGTCACACACACAGGGACTGCAGACACCAATTCTCTCATCACCAAGCAAGATCTTCCTGTTGTGTTTTGAGCCATGACTGCAGCCCTTCAGGATGCAATTAGCTGGCTAGACAGGAGTCATGCTGGAATTTGCAGCTGTGGTGGGTTATGACGTTGGGAGGATGAGACCTTTCATTAAATCATGAGAGCTGCCAAAGCTTCCAGGTACCACAAGCCTCTGCTGCCATTTGTAAGCTCAAGAAGGAGACATGTGAAGTTTACCTTCCATCTCATGAAGACATAGTCCCCATTTTTCAGATCCTCATAGTCAAAGTCATCAGAGTTAAATGTTTTTGCATACTGGTAAAAAGCTTGGAACTTTCCCTGAAACACAGAAGAAACCATTCAGGATGCTTATTCCAGCTCATTGGTGCCAGCTGCTATTTGGGAAGCAAAAGCTATCACAGAACAGGACCTGCTCACCAAAGGGGCTCTTCCCTTGGAGCTGTGCTAAACACACACCCCAGGATGAGCACAGGGGAACACAGAGGATTGACTGCTGGATACCCGCAGCCATATCCAGCCTGGCTGGAGAAGCTCCTACACTTCCAGAGGAAGCTATTTTGACAGAAACATAATAAATATCAAAGTATAGCAAACAACAGCAAAGGTCAAGGTGGGGAGGCAATGAACTGCTTGATCCAGAGCACAGGCACACCCAGCCCTGAGCAGAAGGTTGAGGTGGCCAAGACACAGGTACCAATTGCCCTGCCTGTGCTAGGGAGGCACCTTCTCCACTCCATTTTGTGATAAACCTTCAAATAAGGAGCATGTTCTCCTTGTTGGGAGGTAAAAGGATGGGGGATTGTTGCTGCTCTCTTCCAACCCCAGGGTCAGCAAGCAGAAAGCAAGATGCCCCATCCCCTGTCATGGATCACAGCCACCAGCCTGCTGGTGGAATCTCTACTTGCAAAGATCCCAGTGAGGGAAGGAGGGAGACACCCAAGGAGATGTTTCTAGGCCTGACAGCTCTGGCATGGGCGCACACTGCACCTCATCTCCAGAGCAGCTGAACTGAACCCCCATCTGCTCCCCCCAGGTTTATTTACCCAGTGTTTCCGATCCACATCTTCATCAGCATCCCACTTGCGTGTTAAGAAAGGGTGTTTCTTACTGATTATTTCGCCTTCAAAGAAAGTGGTGAGGGTTGGATATTCCTGGGAGACAAGAGAGATGGATGGGAGGTCAGATTTGTCACCTAGAGCCAGAAACTCACACACACACAGGGGTACAGGCACCAGCAAGAAGCCACATCTCCCAGCAGGAGCTCTGAGCTATCCAAGGCTGAAGCTCTCAGCCCCCCAGTCACTGACTAGGCCTGCCTGCCTCACACCTCCAGGTCTGGTACACACACACACACACACACACACACACAAAGCCTCCATCCTCTTATTCCAGCCCCTCTCTTTTCACTTCCTGAAAGCAGGAGCTGTGTCAGGGCTGGACCGTGTCTCCAAGCAGGACAATCACAGCCAGCTCCCCAGAGGACACCCAGCCCTTGCTGTGTGACTGCTCCAAAGCCCAAGGGCTGGATTAAGCCACCCAGGGGGGAGGAACTCCTCTCCAGCTTTGTCTAAGCACTGAATTAAGAGAGCACAGGCAGGGAACAGCAGACTCAGCTGGGGTGAGCAAGCTCCTTCAAGCATTACCCCTGGGAGACAGCTCTCACTGACTGTCCCACACCATGAGCAAGCTTAGAGGATGGATGGAAAAGGAAATAAGTGAAGATCTGACTGTTCCAATCCTCCTTTCTTTTCTTTCAGCCACACAGCACCACTGGTAGAGTGCCTAAAGTTGCCCCCAGGGTCAGATTTGGTCTGCTCAAACTTATGGGATGCCAGACGAACTTCCCACTCCCAGGACTCCCATCCAGGCCCTTGCTCTACAGGCCAAGCACAGACTGAAGCTGTTAAACTGCTTGGTGGTGAAATCTAGTCCACGCTCAACCCCTCCACTTCCTATTTCTAATGGCAGTTTCCCCCACCCCATTTGGGAACAAGCAAAGCCTTTACATGCATCTTTTCTTGCTGTTTTGCACTTAACACTCACCTCTGTAAGGCCTTTAATCTTCAAGTATCCACAGAGATAGGAGTTTTCCATATCCACATGCTAGAAAAGAGTGCAAGGTCCAACCATAAGCACAGGCAGGAAGGCACCCAATTGATCCAAAGCAGTTTCTGACCCCTGCAGAGCTAATTTCAGTCCAGCTCACTGCCCAGTGCTCACACTGGCAGCCCTTCCCCATGGCTGGGAACCACTTGGAATGATCATCTAGGGGTGCTGAGCTCACCTCTGACATCCCTGATATCCCACTGCCTGCTTCCAGCTCCATCACACTGAGGCAGCAGCATCTGCCCAGGTCTCCAATAGGAAGCAAACCTTCCCCTTCCACCCAGATGAAGCCAACTCAGTTTTCTCCAAGTGAAAGCACCACTGACTTAATCACACCCCTAGCCCCACATCTCCCCATCAACCACCAGCAGTAAACAAGTGTTTGGGTGAGAGAAGAGTAAAAAGCATCTTATTTATTGGAGATAATCCAGGCTACAAGAAAGCACAGCCCTGACTTTGCCCTCTGCTTATTTAACAGGCCTGACCCACACCTCACTAACTCACTTCCCATAGAATCACAGAATGGTTTGGATGGGAAAGGACCTTAAAGCTCATCCAGTTCCAACCCCTGCCTCAGGCAGGGACCCCTACCACTGGAGCAGGTTGCTCCAAGCCCCTGTGTCCAACCTGGCCTTGAACACTGCCAGGGATGGGGCAGCCACAGCTTCTCTGGGCACCCTGTCTCTCCTGGCAGCAGGGTGCACACCAAGGCCTGCTCAGAAGCCAGATGAGTTCCCATGTGCTTTGAAGGAGGCCTTCCTCCCATATCCAACACTTTGATGCCACCCTTCTTTGGGCTCCATCTCACTGGCTAGGATGCTGCATGGGTTCCACAAACCTTTAAAACCAGGGGGTTTTCCAAGCTTTTCCCACCATCTCCAGCTCCATTCTCAGAACAAGCAGCGAGTTACTTAGGGAAGTGCAGGCACTGAGGAGATGAATCTTCCCCACCTGTGCTGTGGAAAGCGCCATTTCCCTGCACTCAGCACAGGGAGAGCAGCAGCAGCCACCTCTCCTCAGCTGACACACATGAAAACAGCAGCATTTTTAGCACAAAGGCACTGCCAGCCCCTGCGTGCAGTGGAGCTGAGCAGCCATAGGATGTCCCCACCGCAGCAAACCCCGCCAGGTACATCGGTGCTGCTGGAGCTGGTTCAAACACTCCCCCATCTGCTAGCCCTGGGGCTCCCCATCGCACAGTCAGGCTTCAGCACTGCCCTCGCTACATGCTTCTGTGCCACCAAAGTGGGAACAAAGCTGTGAGCAGTGTGCTCTGTAGGGAAGCATGTCTCAGATGCCTGTTTGGCCGTGTATTAATGACTCCACACCTCACAGCTCTGCCCAAAGCGAGCCTGCCAGGGCCTGGGACTAAAAATAAAGCACGCAGGGTGACAATGACTGCAGGAGGAACGGCCACAGGAGCCAGGGGACCCATTCTCCAGCACGCTACAGCTGTCTGGTTGCATTCCTGTCACAGACAAACCACCGCACCTTACCTCATGCTCCCTGTGGGAGCCTCTGACACCACAGGGATGGAGGACCCTGGGTCCAGCTCTGCCACAGCCTGGGACTGGGACCTGGCTCCCTGGTCATTCCCAGCCAGGCCTGAAATACAGGCCATCCCGGAGGAAGGGCTTCCGAGGACACCACCCACTCTGAGCTGGGCTCTTACCCTTCTGCCCTCATGGCCAGTTCACAGCCTGAAGGGAACGGGAAGGGAGGAACCTTGCCAGGCCCAAGGGGAATAGGGCACAGAGGTGAGGGGAAAGGCTTGAGCGCAGTGAGCTCTGCTCAGGGTTTGAGGAAGAGGGAGCAAAGTGGTGACCCTGAGGGAACGGAGCCTCTCCTGGGGCCTGAGGGGAACAGGACAGGGTCTTTTCCCCTTATCCCAAAAGGAAAGGGGACCACAGAAAGTAACAAGAGATCCCTGCAGAGCCTCAGCCCTCAGAGCTGTCACTGGGCTTTATAGAACCAGAACACTCACAGGGAGGGCCATGGGCCTCTCCAGGCCCGAGGGGAAGGGTTCCCCCATCGTGGCTGCAGGGCATGGGGGCAGAGACGGGTTTGTGTGTGCGTGTGTGTGTCCCAGCCACAGGCCTCGGAGAGGCTCCGGGGATGGGACACACCACTGCGGCTGCGTTCTGAGGGAGCCGGGGCCGGGCCTGAAGGCATGGAGGCCGGCGGCAGCAGACGGAGCAGGCCTGAGGAGACGGAGGCCCGGTGAAGGAAGGGAAGGGGGGGGGCTAAGACCGCGTCCTCGGTGGTGCCGCTCACCTGCATGACGACCTCCACCTCGTAGGCATTGCCCTTGCTGCGCTGCTGCCCGCGGAACTTGGCGCCGCTGTACAGCAGCGAGGTGGCCACGCCGGGCTGCGCCGTGTTGATGGGGGGCGGCGGCACCAAGCTGCTGGCGGCCGCTCCGGGCGGCGGCGAAGCGGAGGAGGACGACGAGGCCGAGCCCGCCGCTGCCCCGCCAGCGCGGCACCGCTCGCTCCTCACCGGCATCTCGGGGGGGTCCCCGGGCGCCAGCGTGGCCGGAGCCGGTGGGGACCGAGGAGGACGGGGGAAGGGGGGGGGGGGAGAGGCCGGGTCTCGGCTCCGCTCCCCTCACACCGAGGCCGCCACCGCCGCCTCACTGAGGGGCCTCCCGTCAGCGCCTCCTCGCCCTGCCATTGGCTCTCGTGGCCGCCGCGGGGGGGGCGGTGCCGGGCGCTGATTGGCTGCTGGCGGCCGGCACGCGCTTCCTCCCGGCAGGCGCGGCCGCGGGGCGCTGCTGGGAAATGTTGTTTCGTTGCGCTGGCGGCCGGACGGGGCGGCAGAAGGGACAAAACGCGTGCGCGCCGCTGATTGGTTGGCGACGAGGGAGTATGGCGGCGCCCGTGCGGCGGCGCTGAGCGGGCTCGGACCGGACCGGACCGGTGCCCTCCGCCTCCCCTCGCTCCCCACCGCTTCCCCCCGCCGCCATGTGGCTCCGCTGCCGCCGGCTGCTCCGCGCCTGCTGCCCGCTGCCCCGCCCGCCTCCTGCCGCCCCCGGCACCGCCCCGCTGCGGCCGGGCTGGGGCCGGGCCTATGCCCCGCCGGGAGGTGAGGGAGCACATGAGGGGAGGGGGGGGGCCCTGTTCCTATACCCTATATTCCATAGCCCATATCCCGTATTCCGTTTCACATGCCCCATATTCCATACTCCATATCCCATACTTCATACCCCATATCCTGTATTCCAAATGCCGTATCCCATACTTCATACCCCATATCCTGTATTCCATATGCCGTATCCCATACTTCATACCCCATATCCCATACCCCCATATACCTCGTATCCCATACTTCATACCCCATATTCTGTACCCCCCCTGTACCCCATATCTCATACCCCATATCCCATACCCCCCCTATACTCCATATCCCATACCCTGTATCCTGTACCCCCCCATATCCCATACCCCCCTATACCCCATATCCCATACCCCCCTATGCCCCATATGCCATACCCCGTATCCCATACTTCATACCTCTTTTCCCATACCCCATATCCCATACCCCCCCTATACCCCATATCTCCCCTATACCCCATATCCTATACCCTGTATCCCATGCTTCATACCCCATACCCCACCTATACCCTGTATCCCATACTTCATACCCCATATCCTATAGTCCATACCTCTGTATACCCCCTCACATCCCTGGGTGACCTTCAGAGCTGTCATGGGGGGGGGGATCCCCGGCAAGACCAGCCCCGCCGGGCCAGGGAAGGGCCCCATGGGCCAAATGGGACACAGGATCCCTCCTGGAAGTGCAGCCCTGTGGGGTCGGGGCTCCCCCCCTGCCTCTGAGCACCTCAGACAACGTGGTCCTGGTGATGGGCATCCCCCTGCGCCCTTTGCCTGGCGTTCGCAGGTGTTTGGAGCCACATCCTCAATGCACCGCTCTGATACATTGGGTTTGGGGTTTGGGGGGGGTTTGGGGGTGTTTCAGGGACACTCTGGGCCGTGTGTCCCCTGCACAGACCTTGCTGTGTGGGTTTGAGGGCACTAAAATGAGCCTGGTTCTGTTGGAGGTGAGGCTGCAGCCGCTGTGACTCACTGCGGGGTCTCCTCTGGGGTGCATTGATCTGTGCCTTCATCCTGTGGCTCTTCCCGAGGCCCTGAGGCTGAGCAAATCCTCTTCCATTCCCAGCGGGAATGAGCTTTCTTTCGCCTCCAATCACAGAGCTGCAGTCTGGCCTCTTGCTTCGCCCTTCACAGGGCCCGTTTGGTTTGGGGTTTACAGCATGGCAGATTCCTCCTGCCTTGTGTGAGCTGTGAGAGCCTTTGTGATGGCTTTAACCTGGCTCCGAGGTGTTGGATGTGTGCAACAGCACCGGTAGGAAATGAAGCAGCTCTTAAAGCAGAGCTCGCCTTGCTGCTGGGGCAGGATGGAGCTGCATGTATAGGCTGGAGGCTGCTGTCGAAGGGGGTTCCTCCCCGGTGACTCACTGACACAGTGTGGTCCACGTGTCCCCAGCATCATCCAGCTGTGGCACCGTCCTCACAGCATCCTGCCCCTGGACACTGCTGGAGCGTGCAGGTCAAGGCAGGGAACGAGAAGCACTGAGGGTGCGTTTGTTGTCATCAAGGGGTGGGAAGAGGTTGTTGTGCCCTGTCCTGCCTCTGACCCGGCTCTGATGGGTTTCTTGTCTTTGACTGCAGTGGGAGAAGCTGCAGCAGGCTCAGAGCTGGGCTGGGTCAGCCTGGAGAAGAGAAGGCTCCTTAAGGGGAGACCTTAGAGCAGCTCCAGTGCCTGAAGGGGCTCCAGGAAACCTGGAGAGGGGCTTTGGACAAGGGCCTGTAGGGACAGGCCAAGGGGAATGGCTTTAACCTGCCAGAGGGGAGACTGAGATGAGCTCTTAGGCAGAAGCTCTTCCCTGTGAGGGTGCTGAGGCGCTGGCACAGGGTGCCCAGAGAAGCTGTGATTGCCCCATCCCTGGCAGTGTTCAGAGTTCCAAGGGAGCTGAGGCAGAGTGAAGCTGCTCCCATTGACGTGCAGGTTGTGCACAGCAGCGCTGTGCTTCTCACCAGTGTCCTGGCGCTTCCCAGATGAGTGGAGCTCATTGTGGTGCTTGGAAGCTGTGAATGAATGGGCTGGAATTCTGTGGCCAGGCCACCAGCACAGCACTGAGGGCTTTGTCTGTTCTGGGCTGTGGTGGGGAGCAGGGGAAGGGACCAACCTCCCCTTGACTGCCCCTAAAAGGCTCGTTTTGTCCCCAGAAAGGAAGCGGTTTTACCAGAACGTGAGCATCTCTCAAGGAGAAGGTGAGTTCAGCCACTGGGACAGGGCAGAGGGGCTGGTCCCAGCCTGTGTGAGTTTGGTATTGTCACCATCCTGCTGTCCCCTTTCCTCATCCATAGCAAAGCTGTGGGGTGGGAAGCCACTTCCAAGACCCAATATGTCCAAACGATGGTGTTGGTGCTCCCACCACTTGCGCATCCCTGGTACTCTGCTCCCATTAGCTCCAGCTCTGAATCTGTGGGGTTGGCTGTTGTTCCTTAGTGCCTGCTCCTCTTTGATTCCCCAGGATTTCTACTCTGATTCCCCAGGAGGCTTTGAAATCAACCTGGACCACCGAAAGCTGAAGACACCCCAGGCCAAGCTCTTCACTGTGCCCAGTGAGGCCTTGGCCATTGCAGTGGCAACAGAGTGGGACTCCCAGAAAGACACCATCAAGTTCTACACCATGCATCTGGTGAGCATGGCAAGATGGGATACTGGGACCTTGGAAGGACAGAACACAGTGTGCTGGGAGCAGACAGGTCAGGAAAGTCAGGATTAAAGACAGGGAATTGAAATTCCAGGGGTTAAAGATGGGGTTGCCAGGCCACTGCTACCTGGTGAGGGCTTTGCCAGTGTGTGAAGTGAATTCCAGAGCAAGGGTTGAAACACTTTGGGGTGTAAGCCCTGTGCTGGGATGCATGAGATCTTCTCAGAGCATCTTCTGAGAGTGCTTCCTTCGGTATGCTGCCTGTCCCAGCCTTCCTGTGGAGTTGGCATAGGTTGGTCTAGAGCAGGGGTGACCATGTAGACATGAGAGTGGTCTCCAAATGCAGAACACTGAGAGGTCAGGTTGTCCGAATGCCCATAGAAACAGGGATAAGAGGTCAGGAGTTTGGCAGGGCACTGGTTGACACTGGTTGGGTTGACACTGGTTGGGTGACTCTATAGGGTATCACTGGAGGGACTTGAGAAGGGGCTGGACAGTGTTAGCGGGGACTGTGAGGGCAGGAGGAAAGGATGAGCTTCCTTCCCTGGTGCTTGCTGGGCCCATTCCTGTGGCACCTGAAACCAAGGAGGTGATTCCTATTGCACAGGTCTGGCCCTGCGCCCCCCCTTTAGCTGCACCCCTCACTAACTCCTCTGCTGCTTCTTGGCTTTGTACAATAGAAGCTGCTCCTTCCCCAAGCCGTGACTCACAGTGGTTTAAACGGCCTCTATCCCCCAGACCACCCTGTGTAACACAGCGCTGGACAACCCCACACAGAGGAGCAAAATGCAGCTGATCCGAGCAGCCGTGAAGTTCCTGGAGACTGACACTGTCTGGTACGAGATGGGGCACAGGGGTGAGGGTGTCTGGGCACTGTGGGGTTGGGGGAAGAAAGGGAAGATGTCGGTTGTAAATCAGTCACAGCAGGGCTCTGACCTGTCTGGGGTTTGGCCTGAGGGTTTGAATGGGTTTAGGCCAGTTCTATGTCTGCAGACTTAGTGGAAATTCATGCATGTGAATGGGGATCTGGTCCTCTGCTGAACCCTATTTTGGACATCTCTGTGCTGGGCAAGGCTGGGAGCAGCAGGAAATGAAGATTTCCTTGGGGAAAAGAAAACAGCTTTGAAAGGCCTGGGGGAATCTGTGAGCCCAGTCCCTGGTACTCCTGTGTCAGTTCAGGCAAGCTCACATAACTTGTATCAGCAGCCAAAAGCCCTTCATTCCTTAAAGTGGGCCACAGGATCCAGCCTTTCATGCCCAGGCTTCTGTCTCACAGTCCCAGCCTCTGCAATATCCACTGGGAGCTGCATGGCCCCATATAAAGAGTTCCAGTGGGATACATCCCCTGCTCTGACCACTAAACCTCACTGCATCCTGTGCCTGCCTTGGGGCTGCCTGTTGGCTGCTTTGTTTTATAGTAAGGATTATGCTTGCTGGAACAACAAAATGCTCTGAATTTGGGAAAGAGTGGGGGGATTGTTCCCAATCACTGCTGCCACTGCCTTCATTCCCCTTGCTGTGCTCTGGGGGTGAATGAACACCCATTGTGGTTCTGTTCTGCAACGGCCCAGCTATCGTGTGGAGGAGCCACCTGCCTTGGCAGAGCTGCAGAAGAATGAATGGGATCCCATTGTTGCCTGGGCTGAGGAAAGGTAAGAAGAGGCCAAAGATGTTCCTGTCTGCTTTTGGCCTGCCTAGGCCAGGAGCTCTGGTGCTTGTGGCTGTCAGAGCCGCAGGATCCGTGAGCCCTGTGCTTTTTTAAGGAGCTGGGTGATCATTCCAGGTACAACGTGGCAAT